ATCTGACTGTTTAACTTTGTCTATAAGTTCTTGTACCGAAATCAGTGAAGATAAACGTATATTTTCCGTTAAATACCTAGAAGCAGCTGGTGCTGCATAATCCGGTGCCAAACTACATAGTATATTTTCAGCCCTCTCATGGGATACATCACCTCTTTATGCCTCATTTAAGCCCATATTTCTCTGGGAGATGTCATTGAATGAATTTTCAAAAATTTGTCAACGCATTTGGAACTCTCGGGTATAGCGATGTCAATGGGCGGCGGTATTCACTTAACATCAGGTGAACCGTCTGCTCGCTTGGCAACTTTTCACACATAAAAAAAAATTGCTACAAAAACCTTTTCATGATTTAGACTTGCTTCCTCGAATCAATTTCTGAGCAATACCGATATTATTTTGCAGTATTTTTAAGTTATCTGGAGTGGGGTTTCGTCTAAAAATTGCAAGTACTTAACGTCTTTCTACAGGTTTTGAGATATCTGGATTCCAGTATTATTTTGGGTTGAATTTTTTGCTGATTAAGAGGATTCATTTTTATTCATATGTTTTGAACAATGTTGATACCCTAACCAATCAAGTAAATGACGTGAAAGAACTAGAATGCGAACCCAGAGAAGAGGCTCCACATGTATTAATTTAAGTTTTAATATAGGTTAATAAAAAAGAAATACTGTTAAATCCTAACGCCCAGTTTCTGAAACACTGATCATCCTAGAAGTTAACTAATCAGCTGTCAAATGGCTTTTCAAATGTTATTTGAGTTGCCAAAAGGATTGTTAAAGTTTATGAATTGATCAGAATGATCTTCCTAATGATCAGAATGCGAGCCGTCTCAAATATAAAATGCAGAATGCAGAATTAAAACTGCACGAAAGGAGACATTTTTGGTATGACTTTTTGTATAGAGATAAAAAGGGTGCGAATGCTGGATTAAATACAACGAAACCTTATTGAACAATTTTTATAACTATTAAGCTTTAATAAGTTAATTTTCACAAACAATCATAACATAAAAAAAATAATTTGGCTGAAATACACCGAACGAAATGGAACGTTGTTCATACAACCCGTACCATGCGAACGGATATTCTCTTCAGGTGGGTAGCTTTTGGAGGACTCGGCTCACCACTTCCAAATTTAAAGCAAATAAAATTTTGAAATGCATAATTTGTAAAATATAAATAATATTTTTTCCTTCTACTCTCCTTTTTTAATCAACCCGAATAAACAATAACAACTGATCAATTTTGTTTCCACTTGTTTCAACAACATAGTTTTTACTTTAAGAACATCGTTGTCTATATTAACGCCAACGGTAAAAGATAACTAACTACGATATCACAATCCGTGAAATAACTGTGTTTATAAAGTACTGAGGACCGCTTTGCTCGGTTTTTTTTGGTAAATCGTGTATTTTGGAAATTAAAAAAATAAAAAATAAAGAAAGTAATGATCTGGTATAGAAAAAAATAAAAAAATTAAGTGTGTAAATGATCGTGACACGAACCGCGGCCATCCGTTTCGTGTCTGCCTGATTACCGATCGAGCTATTATAACATTTTTTTTCGGGGAAATTTACCGTCATATTCGAATGATATTTTTCATTCCCTGAAAACAGGGATAAAAGGACATTTTCTAAAATTGAAACCTAGCTAGATCGATTTTTCGCCCCCGAATGTACGCACATACTAAATTTCATGAAAATCGCTGGAGCCGTTTCCGAGATTCCGATTATCCCGAGTTTAAAGGATAAGTTATGACCATCTCTCTCTATTAGTTAGTGTGCTAACGAACTTCTCTATGAAGCTATTTTTATAATCAAATCGCGCTAGTTTATGATATACGGAATTGGTTTACATTATGTCGCGTAGGTACCATGGTTCCCTAATGGCGGGTTACATAATTTTATTTTCTTGGTACTATAGTACCTGATGGCTTTCTTGTTGATAACAATTACTTATTAATAGGGTTGATAACCATACTTTATAATAAACGTATCCTACTTCATTTTTGACAAACATACTAATATACTTTTATTAAGGTTAGTGAAAAACTGTCAGCGTACTAGAAGAAATTAATAAAAAACTCATAAAATTTTGAAAAATACTTATTTTTTTTCTTACAAATACTTTATTTTTCCCTACATGAAAAATTTAGTACGTTATTTCTCTCAAAAACAGTTGGCAACCCTACCTCTTGGTGTCACTTTGAATTTGAAGTTTAACCCGCCGTCTGGACTGATTGTTTTGTTTGTTTTTGAACGGCCTTTTATCTAAGATCAGTTCAGTCTAGTGTGTTAGTTTTTGAATTTTCATTAGAACTAACGAAATCCCTCCAACTGTATTTTGATCATTATTGTCCTATAGTTAATCGGTAAACGGGTAAATGTGCAGGTCACGGATACAGGTTCTTTTCCCTTACAAATATTTTTAAACGATAAAAGAACATAACCATTACACAAATTATAAAACTACGGAAACTTCCAGGATTTGAGAAAATAAAAATTTATCTTGCAAACTGCTTACCCTGAATGTATTTTTTATTACTTTGCGTACAAAGTTTACATACTCCTATCGATTGTTCGATTAAAATTTTTTTTAGAAATTGAATGAGTCGCAGATCCAACACAGAGCAATCCGACTTGGACGTTCTGGTTAGGTTTTTTTTTATAAGCAGGCAATATGGTAGTGTGTCGATGATCTGCACCTTTACCCTTTAGTCTTTATAAAGGTTTGATTGCTGTTTGGTTTTGTCTTAATTCTAGACTACAAATTCAAATATGTCTCGTGCTTATACCAACGCCGAGTATTACGACATGATGTTATGTATCGGTGCTGCTGACGGAAATCTCCGCCGTGCGCGTATATTTTATCGAGAACGCTATATTGACGGCAGACCAGAACCGGAACAAAGAAAACTCCCTTCATATGAATGCTTTCGGCGGATGTGTATGCGTCTCAGAGAGACTGGTAGCTTTTATGACTTTCCGAACCCAGGACGACCTAGCAAACTTCTGGGCTCAGAACTAGAAACTAGAATTCTTCGACACTTCGAAAAAGATCCAGGATCTAGCACACGTCGAGCTGCAGCGTCCTTAGGAGTGAACCATGTGACTGTATGGAGAGCGCTCAAAGGTGATGGCCGACATCCTTTTCGCTCTCACCGCAAAAAGGATAACCATATAACTAGCTTCAGTGCTCGCACAGATTTTTGTCGCTGGTTAAAAGTACAACTGAATGAACCTTCTTTTGCTAAGAAAATCCTTTGGACTGGTGATGCTACGTTTACGCGTAGTGGGCTTGCTAATCCACACAGAGAATACTTATGGGCGCATCAGAATCCTTGTTCTTCCTCTGAAAATAGCTTGCAAGACCAATGGCGAATCAATGTTTGGGCAGGCATATTAGGACACCGTGTTATTGGACCTAAGTTCCTACCAGCAACCTTAAATTCAAAAACATATTTGGAACTGCTGACCACAAAGGTAGAAGAGGAGCTTGAAAGTTTGCCAGTAGTCACTTACTATAACTTATGGTTTCAGCACGATGGATGCCCTGCGCACAATGCACGTCGTGTTCGCGCATATCTCAACTCTAAGTTTCCTGGACGTTGGGTTGGTCGCGGGGGTCCAGTGCGCTGGCCTCCTCGATCCCCAGACCTGACACCATTAGAATTTTTTTTATGGAATTTCATAAAAAACTCTGTGTATTCCGTGCCGTGTAATACACGAAAAGAAATGGTATTACGAATTAAATCTGCATTCAGAGCAATTACTCCACAAATGCTCCAAAATGCGATGACATCAATTTCTCGTCGTGTTCGAAAGTGCATTGAGAGAAAAGGTCAGCACTTAGGGCCATATTTATGAAAGTAGGGTACCTTTTGAAAACATTACCCTTAAACCATGCCCATTAAGGAATCATACATGGGCCAGTTTAACAAATTTTCCGACGAGTAAGAATCTAGTAGTTAATCATCAACGCTGATCTTCATTGAGAAAAATTTACATTCATAATATTTTATAATTTAATTGTAAACTATAATACATTTATAAATGTGAAATGAAAGTTCAGAGAAATTGAAACATTATTCAGTTACTACAAACAGTATCATTGTTTTTTAATTGTATTAAATTTTTTTTTGCAAATGAATAACGCTACTTGAAATTATATAGTTATTTTCTATAATTATATAGTTGTTGTTAATTATACCAATTTAAGAGTTTACATTTTTTGTAATAAAAATATCATCCTTGTAGAAATTAATACTGTATGTTAAAGTTATTTTGTATGTATGTAGTTCACAAAATACATGAAACATTTTTTATATTGCTACTACAATGTTTTTTACTGGTTCACTACTTCTTGAACCATTATATTTTATTTACAATATCTAAGTAATACATATAGGTATATTCATGAGTATAACAGAGGTAATAAAATCAATCAGAAATGAATCACTTAAAATATGGTAACTTGTATAGGTTTTTTGATGTAAATAGATAGTGGTCATTGAAATTGTTACTGCTTTCTTTATGATTTTGATTTCCTATTTTGTTAAATTAATTCCTTTTCCACCAAGCCTACCACATTTAATAATTTTCTCTAACTATAATTTTAGAGCCAAGTCCGTCCATTCTTACGAAATTTTAAAGATCAAATATCAAAGTAGTGTCTAAGTTAAGCTGTTAAGTTTTCTACTTTGTGTACCTTAGAATAAAAAAAATACCAATAACACTTTTTTCCTGTACAGGAGATACTAAATGTGTAGAGATTAACGTATTGCTTAGATGCTATTCAGATTTTTTTAATTTCACATTTATCTTGAATTCAATTACTTATATTCCAAACATGTTTTACATGCCTATTTTATTTTAAAGATTAATGGAATTTTAACAGCTTTTCATATCATATACATATATCATACATGATGGTCGAAAGCGCCCTTGGCAGCATTAGCGGATCCCGTGTCCAATCTTTATGACTAGTCATACAGACATGGGATTTCTGAAGGCGTTGTTGGGGCGCGGATATAGTGGGCCCGACTCGGAGCTTCTTCTTGGTGAGTGATGCCTCGGTCTCTGGAGGTGTATGGCTGCGCTGTGACCTCTTGCCGCGTACGGGGGTCGATCCGCCTTGGTCGCATAATCATATGCGCCACTTGCGATCGCCTCACCTACCTTCGCCTGCTTTTGAAACTGATTCTTCGCGGTCGAACTTGAAGGAACGCTCTGGGCGCTAGTGGTGGCTTCGTGGTGTTACGCACTTAATATGCGGATTGACGGAAGTGGACACGGCAACTCTCCGGAGACAATATTTCTTTCGGGGTAGTGGAGGGGATTCTCCCCGGTCCGACAACGTGTTGCATCCAATTTTGACGGCTACACGTTTGTTACCCAGTCGACCGGGTGAGACCCCTTTGGCAGACATAGCGGAGTGCCCTGCGAACGGGGAGGGGTGCACGGGTCAAGGATGTTGATAGCTCAAAATATAGATGATAATAGATCAAGGTTTTACACTTCGCACTATGTACGTGTACTGCCTACTCTTTTTCTGCAGAAAAAGGGTTGATGCAGTACTGCAGCACACACGTACTCGCGGCGCGGGCACGGTGGAATCGGCGAGAAGGGTGTATTATACGAAGAGCGCGGCAGACGTCGGCAGTCGCGCCGTTACTATAAGAGCGTAACGGTAGAGAAGAAGAATTGCAACGTATTTAGCCCCTCCACCGAAAAATCGTGGCCGTTTCAGCTGGCCGCTAGTGGTGAACACTATTTTCAGCGGAAGCGCTAGTGGTGAACACTATTTTCAGCGCAAAGAAGAGAAAACCCATGAGCTCACAAATGATTATTGTTGATATTAAGGTACCTACTACGTTTAAAGATAAAACTTATTTTCGCATCAAACGTCCAGTAGGTACTAAAAATTTGCACTGGTACCAATAATTCATAAATCTTCAGATGCTAAACACAGAGGTAAGCATTTATATTTTGCAACTATGGGTACTAGATTACCGATAGACATACTTAAACATACTTTTCTTTTTGTAAATAAATACATATATAAACACCCAGACACTAGAAAAACACTATGTTCATCACACAATATTTTTCCAGTAGTGGGGATCGAACCCAAACCCTCTGACGCAGGAGGCAGGTACACTACCCACTACGCCATTCGGGTCGTCAACAGTTAATCGTAACAGTTAGTATATGATATAAAAGGTAAATTTTCTAAATATATACATATTTTAGACGTATTTGTGCAATTCGCTGCAGAAACCTTGTTAGTGACGTCTCGGAACATAAATTTTTTTGCAAGGATTATATCCTGGACTTAATATTTCGACTAATCGACTCATGATAAGGCCGATTTTTTTCTATCTAGTGTGCATACATTACAGTTAGTATGTTTAACGATACGCGACGTTTTGTTACTAATATTATTGAATGTTTTTTTATTTGTATATCTTACAAATACATGCACGCTAGTTGGCGCCAAGCATTGCTAAATATGCAGAATCTCCCATTGGTTTTGGCCATTTAACTTCATGTTATACACAAAATTCACATGTTATGAATATAATGAGAAGTGGACTTGTGCGATAAAATAAAACAATAAATATTATTATTTGAAATATATTAAAAGGCACAGTATAGTATGGTAATATGGTGTCTAATAAGTTGTTTTCAAAAAATCTTCACAGTGGTGTCTAGGAGTTAAGTTAACAATTAACTTTTGGAAAGTTGTAAACAGTTTACCTATTAATATGTAAATTATTTATCGTCTATGGAATGATTAAATACATATTTATAGTATATTATTTTAAATTACTAAGTATTCTGAAATAATTTTTATGATAAATGTAAATGCTTAGACTATTCTCATTCAATGTTATTCATATACAGTAGAACGCCGATTAACCGAATCGCCAATTATCCGAATGGATCCTAAGTGTAATTAAAAAATTAAAACCAAGTTATTTTTATACCTTACTGTTGTTATTTTTTTTTTACCACTAAGTATCTCTATTAATGAATTGAATTTTTATACTTTGTATTTTTGTTAAGGCCTGATGGGTAACAACTTACTCTAATCGAGATGTTCAAGTGAGCGTTATTGTAGAACTGTGTTCGTTAAACTTAAACTTTATCCTTTAAACGAGCAATTCTTATAAATGAAACTAATTTTACGGATTTATCGCGTTTATTTTTAATTCCCGACGTTTCGAACCCTTTACAGCGTTCATGGTCACGGGACAGACTCAAGTCGGACAGACGGAGTCTGTCCCGTGACCATACACCGCGACTATATATATATACAGCGTGTCGTTACCAACGCGACAATAAATGAACACACATATAGAGGATAATTGTTTAAAATCATATCAAAATTTTACATTCTTTAAACTTAAACTGTAACGTAAAGTTCATTTGTAAAGGTCACAAAGCATATGAATGGGTTGAATGAATTTAAAAGAGACAAAACATACTGTTAGAAGGAGAGCCTTGTAATGCGACGCCGTGACAACGAATGAAAAAATCTCTGAATGTATGAATCAGTCAGTTGTAGTTGTACAGGATGTTACAAATTTTGTTTCTTTTTTACTTAATTAGTTTGTTTGAAAAATATATTTTTTTAATTATGGATTTTGTTTAACGTTAATATTTTTTTATGATTATTGGCAAGTAGCGTTAAGGCCCATTTACACGATGCCATTTTCTTGTACATACAAGAGCAATAATTGAATGCAATAAGTTGCACGCAATAATTGACCATCAAGAATTGTAAGCAACAGTTTACACGCAGATATAGTAAAAAAAATTGAATGCGATTATTGTATGCAAGTCTTGACAGGAAATAATTGCAAAGGTCTTTTGTTTACACCAATGCAATTATGTTTAGGCGATTATTGCTTTCAAGTTCTGACTTGTCTAAACACATGCTTGTATGTGCGTGTACAATTTATTGGCGTGTTGCTTCAAGTATTGCACGTATTTGCGTTGACAAATTTTTCATGCAAGTGTTGAACGTTTTACAAAGGGCTGTTTTTAAAAAAAATGGCTCAATAATAAGTGTTCAAGTTAGATTATGCCGATTAAATATATTTCATTGAGATTTATTTATTATGATCCATATATTATTATTCATATTTTTATCCAACTTTTTTTACGACCTTTTCTCAATATTTCTATCCTCAAAAGAACAGCAATGATTAAATACCCTCACTCATTGCACAAATTTTTGCCAAGGAAGAGAGAATGCAATTGAATACAAGAATTGCTTAAGAAATTATTGTGTGTGCTGTTTACACCAAGGAAAGTTTTGAAACAAAACTTGAAGCAAGTCTTGTTCAACAGTCAAGAATGTTATGTGCTGTTTAGACAATGCAACTCATTTATTGCTTCAATTTAATTGTATATAACAGGCAAGAAACTTGCACCGTGTAAATGGGCCTTTAGACGTGTGTTCATTTATTGTCACGATGGTAACGACACACTGTCTGTATATATATATATATATATACACAGACAGTGCGTCATATGTATATATATATATATTTATATATATATATACACATAATATACACAGCGTGTCTTCAAAGTTATTAGGTCGGTAAGATCGAAAAATATTATGCATATTTCATTATCAGTAATTTGTATCTAAATGTAATTACCAAAAAAAAAACGATTTACAAAAAAAAAACCTCCGGGTACTAACTTTATTCTGTGTGACAGTTCGTGTTTTTTATGATGATATATTATTACCAGTCTATGTCTGATTATTCAAATCAACCCCTGTACTAATTAATTCGGATAATCGGGCGTTCTACTGTAAGTACATGTATTGTAAGTGCTACACACTTGTAAAATACTAGAAATATTTGAACAAAGATGTACAACATTAAAAAGAAAATAATGTCTATCATTTCCTGTCTTTTCATTTAGCATTGTAATATGTATATTAAATATTGTGTGTGCCTCACTTCATCTTGACTTTGAAGATGGAAAGAAACATTTCATTTAAAATTATAAAATCCTTACTGCCTAAGTATACAATCTCTATAATGTGATAAAAATCAATCAAATTTTACGACTAGCAAGTAATATAGAATTTAGATGGCCACAGAAAATTTGGTACAGGTGCTATAGAGGTGGTATAGAGTAAAAAAAGCAATGAATATAAAATAGTACATGATTGCACCAAATAAGAAATGTTTTGATATGTTTTAAAATCATAAAAGTGAACTTTATAATTCTCAATTAATATCAATGAAAAAATAGAATTCTATACCACATGATCTATAATAAATATAGACATTTATTCAAACAAATTAACCTGCAAAAATTGAAAACTAACAAGTATAATTTTTAACAAAAAAAAAAACGACTTCAATCAGAAAATTAAAGACATTGTTAATGACATTCAATGATGGCCCTCCATTTCTCGTGAATGCCATCATCACATCCGGATTTCCTTATCATGGTACCACCCTTGGAATATCTTATTTCCGAAAAAAAAAGAATCATCAAAATCGGTTCATAAACGACGAAGCTATCCACGAACAAACATAAAAAAAATATGTATGGTCGAATTGAGAAATCTCCTCCTTTTTTGAAGTCGGTTAAAAACAGAAAAACTTTTCTTCTAATCAATGATCTTTAAGGCAGTTGTCATACCTAAAGTCAATGGATGAACTACTTCTCCCATTTAATAAAAAAAAATGTTTACTTTTTACTTTACAATCTGTTATTAATCTCCGTATGCGTTTTTATTACATTAATTACTAGCGACCCGCCCCGGCTTCACACGGGTGCAATGTGATTTAATGTTAGATGTTGTGTTCTTACTGTAATCTAATAAATGAGTAAGAATTGTCTTAGTTATTGAGCTAAGTGTTTTACGCGTTCGAGCAATGCGTCGCAAGTTTTTTTAGCGTCACCCAATAACATAGCAGTGTTAGGGTTGTAGAATATTGGATTATCTACAGCAGCATATCCCACTCCCATTGATCTCTTCATAACTACCACCTAAAAAATAAAAAAAATGGTTAAATATTATGTTAATGCTTACATAGTTATGTATTGAATAATTGAAATAGAACATATGTCATGTGTACATATTAAATATTTTCTATTTCATTTATAAAACAAATGTTTGAAATATGTTTTTTTAAAGTTTGACAATTAATTACCTGGTTTGCTTTCCACACTTTTAACACTGGCATGCCAGCAATGGGCGAATTGGGATCATCTTCAGCAGCACTATTGACTGTGTCATTTGCACCTTGAAAATAATTAAACAAAAATAGGATGAGAGTACCCTTGATCATTCATTTTCTGATTATTGAGTGTTATCATTTTATATTGGATCCTTATATAGTTTATTTCCACCCCTTTTTTGCACACCCCGTAAATGTGAAATGTTTTCCAACTCTAATTTATATTGTTTATTAATACTTGTTAAATTTAGAGATTAACAATTTGTCTTATTGTCTTGTTCCAATATTTACAGATGCTCAACATATTTTTTTTAAAATGTCCTTATGTTATGGTAACATTATCCTGGGTTGTAACAACTCAAATATTAGTGGGTATTGGATGTATCAAATGGTAGTTGTGTATTGGATGGATATATTAAATTAAACTATTACACTACTTACCAATTACAAGAACTAGATCAGTTTCAGTAAATTCATCATTGATTTCTTCCATTTCAAATACATCATCATATGGTACACCAGCCTCAGCTAGTAAAACATTAAGCTGTCCAGGCATACGACCTACAAATTAAAACAATATTATTAAACTAAAGTTTATTATATTCTTACATTTTATTGGGAATATGAGAAACATACCAGCAACTGGATGGATGGCGAATCGAACTTTCTTTCCAGCTTCTTTAAGAAGTTCAACTAATTCAGCAATTGGATATTGCGCTTTAGCTACGCAAAGACCATAACCTGTCCAAATAAAAAAAAATTGTGTATATTTGTTATTCAAGGCAATGAATACTCACCCCAAAATATGTCCATAAAATTCATAATATAAATTCATAATAATTATTAATAAATTATAAGTGTCAGAGTATGTGCTTTTAATTTAATAAACTTGAGCAATACAAGTTTAAATCTGACTACCAGCTCCCGTGATATTTCTAATAAATAATAGCTTTAAGCTTTAATTACGCTATATTTAACTATCTTTAAAATTTTTCCTTTGTTTAATTTGTCCCACAGCTGGGACCAGCCTGTACAGAGGCTATAAATATAATAAAAATAAACTAATTCCTGGATATAATCTTAATTAAGTTTTTATTTGTTATATAGGTATAGGTCTTTTATGTATTAAATAAGTTCTATCTAGATTAGGGCCCCATATGAAAGTGATCATTGTATTCTATACTGATAATTCTATAAACTTTTTATTAAAGCAATAGACATAAGGCTGTTTTAATATTTACCTGGAGTGATGATGATAGATGAAGCCCTGTGAATGAGGTCAGCGACAGAGTCAACATTAAGTTCTGTGTGGCTGGCTCCTGCTGGACGGGCTGATCCGCCAGCTGTTACGCCATATCCGCCAAGGATCACATTTGGCAGTGACCGATTCATGGCCTTAATGAAAAATAATATTAAATGATATTATTATTGGGTGCCCAAAACTTAAACAAGTTTTTTAATTTATGTCTGTTCTTCTGTACTCAGCAGTTTTTAGTTATCATTGGGCCTACATGAAGGCTGCAGGGGAGTTTCAATTAGTTTTGTTATGGCCATAATAGATATTTTTGTTTGTCTGATGAGTAGTTATGCTCATACTTTACTGACAACTACATTTGGTATGGCTACAAAAGCTATTTGTTTATAGTAAATTCAAATATTACTTTACCTTGCACATAATGTACGATAGTATTGCACCAGAACTACCGATAAGTGCACCGACGATTGTCATAAGAGAGTTGTTAAGCATAAAACCTTCTGCACATAGAGCCCAGCCTGAGTAACTGTTAAGTACGGTGATAACAACCGGCATGTCAGCACCTGAATGTAAAAGAAACAAAGGTAAAAAGTCTTTCAAAATGGAATAGCCAAACAATTTCAAAAGCTTGACTACAGAAATATTGTCAGACTAGTGTTTTAAACATTTAATAATTTTAATTGATGTAACCAAATATAGCATACATCTCAATTGGCATAACTTTGTAGAGATATTTTTAATATTGTATTCTATTGTGTGTTTATGACAAATTATATGAGACAATACTTAGAATTATATTTTTGAGATTTTTTTCATTTGAAAAAACAAACCGGTCAAGTGCGAAGCAAACTCGTACGCCGAGGGTTCCGCACCTACCCATTATTCCGCCATAATAAAAATGGTAAAAAATCACCACCTATTTTTCAGGAAAGGGTAGATCTAACAAGTTGAAATTTATACCAGATACTGATGTTTTTAGACTCTATTCGGTGTATAAAAATCAGGGTCCTGAGTAAACATGATAAAAAGATATGGGGAAATTCAATATCTGGTATAAATTTCAACTTGCTAGGTCCACCGTTCTTGAGAAAATCGGTGGTTACACATGACAGACAGTGGTATTAAGAGGGTTCCTTTTTTAACTTTGAAGGTATGGAACCCTAAAAAAAAACTTTTTATATCTTTGTCAAGGAACTACACATAAAACAATTATGGGTATTCATTCTTTTCTTGTTATTTAAAAGTAATATATAAAATACCGAAATTAGGTAAAACATAACTAAAAATTTACCTCCAATGGCAGCAGTTAGTGTAAGTCCTTGTATGCCGCTAAGCACGGCCGCGGCCGACAATAGCGGCAGACCGGGGGCTTCTGGCATAGCTATGAGCGCACCCCCGCATCCCAATGCACCAGCCAGTAATCCGGCGTTGATTGCATGTCGACCGGGCAGCATCAGTGGTGCTGACGATAATGAACCTTGTAACTTGCCATATGCCACAAGAGAACCCCTGTGCATACGATCATAAAAAACTTGTTTAAATGTGATTTTGAGAAGGTCTTATTATATCAAACAAAATAAAACTTTCAAATAAATAAACTGACAGTTCCAAATAAAAACAATGTCAAATGTTACAAAAAAGAGATTTTGTATGAAACAAGGAAAACTCACGTAAAGGTAATGCCACCAATGTAAGTGCCGAGGAAAAGTGAAGTTTTGAGCGTGGCGGCGGTAGGATCAAAAGCCATTGCAGGAAAGTCATGCATATATGTTGCGATACATGTCAGCACAGCTGCCATTCCCACCAAACTGATAAAAATAAAGGTTTAATGGCTTTAATATATATTTTCTTAACATAATTAGAGTTTTTGGAGAAGGAACAATAAAGGTTTAATAGCTATAATATATATTTACTTAACATAATTAGAGTTTTGGAGGAGGAACATAAAGAAATTAAGTAAAGGAAATTAATACCTGTGAAATCCAGCCACAAGCTGAGGCAGATCGGTGATTTCAATTTTTTTGGCAATAACACTTCCTAATAAACCACCTATACCAGCCACACCAATCATTTGTGCTAGCACCTCAGCATTAGGAGTCATTGCACCCAATGTAGCCGCAATACCTCCTGCTACACCAATCTTAAACAACACAAACATTTGCTTTCTATCTTTTCATAAAAATATAAATAAAATAGAGTAGAGAAAAATGCAATCTCATATTACTAAAGAATCATCAATATAGTGACTTGCTTGAACTCAAGTTGCCTCATTTGTAATGGTATGTCCAATAATGGATTGCACAGACAATTTAAGACTTGCAAATTATCTGGATATAATATTTTGATTTCCAAAATTGAAGACTACAACATAAATGCTACATAATTTAATAGAAACAAAAACTATATAAAAAATAAATACATAAAAAAATTATAACTATATGTAGGAGTTATGTTTAACAATCTATAATGTCTCACTGCCTTTACAATGATCAATAGATTAAGACTAAAGTCATCAAGATTACAATGAGTGGGTCTTGAGTTGAGTCTTATAGCTTTGTCACTTTGTCTTATGAATGCCTTGTCTAATCATTGACTGCATTATTAACAAAATAAATTATAAAACAAAAAATATCTTACTTACCATTCCTAGATAATTTCCTTTTCTTGCAGTTGTTTGAGAACTGAGACCCGCAAGTGCACCAACGCAGCAGAGAGAAGAGGCCAGATAAGCCATTTGATGGACCTCTGGATAGCCCTGTCATTGAAAATAAATATTTTTTTCATATGAATACATTACAAGAACTCATATTATATGTGCAAAATTTTCAGTTTCAAGTACTAACAACCATACATACAGAAACTATCACCCAGAACAGATAATTACCACTTTCCACATTCCTCTTCTACTCTTTCATCTCTGCTAAAATAATAGTAATAGTGATAATAGAAATTATGCATTTCAAATAATAACAAAAGCAAACTTTATTCACTGTTCTAATTTTAATTTACAAATATTAACATTTTGGAATTACATACCTGCATTGCAGTTGTAATATATCCGCCAAGTAATGCAGCAGCTGGAATTCCATACAAATATCCATATTCAGGTGGGTCACCAGGCCTAGTGACATAAAAGTAAAATACTCTTTATAAATGGGAATATTCAAAAACTTTATAACACAGCAATACAGGATCAGTTAAAATTAAGATTACAACTAAAAACACAAGAATTTAGGATGTTGAAGGTGTTTTTTATATTTGTAATTCATTCATTCACTATTTGCATTTTGTGTGTAAGGGGTTGAGTAGTAAGTCTCAGTATCAACCGAGACCTAAAAAGAACTATTGTAATCTTTCCTTGCAGTAGGATAATATTATCCTGTGTTCGAAAGATGTTTTACATACATAAATTTCACATGGATCAACACCCAGTTCCAATGTAGTCACAAATAGTTATCTCATGTGAAAATCGAACCCACAACCCCCAGCGCCTAAGTCAATTCCTTGGCATCTGCGCCACAGTGTGATCAAGGTATGTATAACTAACGAAGAAACAAATGAGAACTAAAGTTGATTGAGATAAAAGTAGAACGTGGTAAGAGTTTATTAGCAGACTTAGGATGTGAATGTTAAGTAGATTTTTTAGGCTGCATCGAAATACAAATAAAATTCAACAGTACCTTTTGAACATATCAAGCATACGCTGAGTGACTAGAAATCCACCGAACACATTCACGAAGGAGATGAGCGCTGCTGTGCTTGCCAGCCACTGTAATATTGATAGAGTGCTTGTTATGAAGTGTACAAAACAATATTTCATTTTCTAATAGTATCCGTGTACTCACAGAGGCATTCCTTGGTGTTTCTGTAACACCTACGTTCTTTTTTTGATGTGTATAGATAAATCATTTTAGAGGTTAAATTCGAAGCCGGCAAATAACACATTACTGCTATTGAAAACCGTGTTCAATATTTATAGATCCAAAGGATACCTAATTTTGGTTTGGTTACCAAACTTTGCTGATAGTGATAGATATGACCACGTCAGCAGTGTTTGCATATGCCTAGGGCATATGGATAGTCTGCCTGCTATCGATAGAAATTCGATTATCGATAGTTAAGGTAAAAGCAATAGTATCGGTAGTCTATCGATAGTGTTGTCACGTTTCAGTACTGTCGATACTACCGATAGTATCGATGGCTCTCCAAGTGCCAATTCTATTGATAACAGCAATACTATTGATACTGTTGCAATTGCCATTAGTTTTTGACAAAACTATCGATACTATCGATAATATCAATGATTTTGTACTATCAATAGCCTTTTAAAAAAAGAGGAGTATCGACAGTATAAACTTAAACGATACTATCGGTAGCACAATCGATATCCTCTATTGAGGATATCGATTGTATAAACGATAAACTATTGTTTTCGAGGTTAAATAACGATGGTTGTGCAACATTACCACAGAGTATATATATATATATATATATATATATATATATAATTACTAGGGATGCCGAAAATTATCCATATCAATATTTTTTTTAAATATATCGATATTTTTATCCGATATATCGATATGAAAAATTGAATATCGAAATCGTATCACAAACGATATTTTTATTCAAAGCCATAAAAGATAAAAATTAACGGAAAAAAACTGTGGTCTACTACTAGTATTGTCGCGGATGCAAAATTGCATTTTGTACTATAATATTGTATTTATACTACAATTTGATGTTTCGTACTTTATACTATCAACATGCTATAGAGGTGTTACAAATCATTAATATTGAACTACATGTTGTTAATTTATAAATAGCATGCAAAATATTAATGGCATCAACTAAAGTTACTTTAATTTAATACGTAAATAAAGATAACAAAAATTAATTATAATCAAATTCTCAATAATTAAATGTCACATAATATAACGATGGTTGCGTCCAGCCGTCAACTAGGGACGTCGAAAGAATATAAACATATCGATATTTTTGATTTTAAATATCGATATTTTTGGATTTGATTTATAGATATAAAATACTCATATAATTATATTAAATATTTTTCGAATTCGAATCGAGCATAGAGTCCGTTGTTGTCAAATATTTAATACAATTCTCAATTCGACTGTTTTTTATGTTTGTTACCTCATACCTTTCGCGTGGGTGAACCAATTTTGATGATTCTTTATTTATTTGAAAACTGGTGTTCCTATGTGGTCCCATATTAATTTCTTTGGTATTGGCTCTTGGGCTCCGGAGATACTTAGGGAACTACTCAAAATCAATTATAAAATGAATACAGAGAGAGACATGTGAAGTTGGTTTTCTTTTTCGTTAATAAAAATGGACCTTTTTTGGACAACGGCTTAAACAGAAAATATCGCTATTTTCTCTTCGATATATCGATATGTTTATGTTTGTATAAATATCGCTATATTTCTTCACTTTCGACATCCTCCAGTGGCGACTTGCGTAGATCGATTAAATCGACCTGACGTTTGAAGTCGTCGAATCGATCTGACTTTCTTATAAGTCGACCTGAGTCGGTTCGAGTTTGAGTTCGCGCTACATACTACAGCCTAAAGCCCAATTTACACTGGTTCAAGTTTTTAGTACAGTGAGTAAGTACAGTAGTGTAAACTGTCCGATGGACAGTGGTGTCAGCCAGGTTGACTCGCCACTGTTCGACGGTTTACACTACCATAATCGTCTACGGGACTAAGCACTCCAGTGTGTTACCAGTGTCGTCTTCGTCGGAGTCGACTTCATATCGTTAGTAGGGATATCGAAAGTAAAGAAATATATCGATATTTATAAAAAGATCAATAATGACTTCGACATCGAAGAGAAAATATCGATATATCGGATATAGGCCCTAGAGCCCTTTATCGAAAAAAAGGCATGTCAAGTATTAATTATATGATACCTACGAACTCTGGGCCCGATTCGAATTTGAAAAAATATCGTTTTTGATACGATTTTCAATATTGAATATTTTGCATCCTATTGGATGGTGCCCTGTCCTGTTGGATGTCGGCGACCACTACACTCTTCTCTTCTCTATGCTGCGCCAGTCTAAAAAGACTGACGGCTTTTTCTTTCAATTATATTTTTCAATATGTTATATTTCTCATGTCTATAGATACGTCCAAAATATGCTGTTTTACGTTTTTTAATAGATAGTTGCCTCCCGGTAATCCGACAAACGTTTTGTAGGGCAGTGTCGGACTATCGAATTTATCGGATTATAGAGTACTGCCTCAGACCCACGTCCGGAATTTTTAGAAAAAGTGTCACTTGTTATCCGACAAATTACAAATCAAAATGATTAGTTTGTATCTGAACTACAAATCATACTACGAAATATGTTTGTTGAATTTAGAAAATAACACTCGTCGAGCAAAATACTTGCTTGGAGGAGCGTACAAGTTACAATTAAACAGTTTCCTTATTACCTACATAAGTTAAGATTTTCCAAAATAATGTTTGTGTTGTTTTGGCTGTCGGATTACAGGAGGCGCAGGATTAGACAGGGTCCGTATTACCGTAGGTCCACTGTATATTATCAAAAATATTTTTGATGGCGTCACAAGACAGCAAAATGTCGTATGTGGAAAATGGATTATGTTGCTAGTTTGTTCCATATATTAGTTTTAGAAATAATAAAAGTCGTACCATAAGACCAATTAACAAAATTTTCCTAAATAGTTAATTACACTGAAATTGACACGTGGTAATGTCAATTTTGTATACCGCCCGTTCTGCTCTTCTTAACCCGTTATAATGTTAGTACAAAATCCATACAAAATCCAATCCTGTTACACATTAATGACTAGACATAGCGACTTATAATGTAATAATGTGTAATTAACTTCTCTTAACAATCTGCATACGTACGTATAAATTTTCAAATTCATATTTGATAAATAACTTTAATCAAAACTTGACCGTTAAAAGGTGTAAATAGAAGTTCCGTATCCTATAGTTAGTCGAATACTAACCGATTATAACCGATTAACAAACCTCCTAGTGCGTTTTATGAATCATTTGAAAATAGATTGGAGGAAATATTACTGAAATTATCTGAATCTAATAAATATATCATTGTCTGTGGTGACTTTAACATAAATCTTCTAGAAAATTCTACCACCACTATTAGATTCAGATCATTGTTAAATTCATATAACCTTTCTAACCTATTTTATGAACCAACTAGAATCACTACCTCTTCGGCAACTTGTATACACAATATATTTACAAATTATGAACCAATCGATAAGTCAATTATTAATATGTTAAATTCAGACCATTGCGGAAGACTTGCAATTTTTAAATTATATAAAAAACGTAGTGATGATAAATTACTAAAAATAATGTTTGTTCCTGTAAATAGAACTCGTATTGAGAAGTTTAGAAGTAATATTAAAAAAAAAAGCTGACATATTTACCTAATAATGACAGTTCAGATGCGCTTTACAACATATTATTTAAATTAATTAAAACGGAATTTAATGCTATATTTACTTCTAAGACAGTCAATCGTAAAAGCTCTGCAGTTTTCAATGATTGGGCAATGATTGGGCAACAGTCGGAATTCATAAGAGTAGGCGTAGACTGTATGAACTCTATAATGAAAGGACATTCAATCACAGTAATTCTTTTGTAGCTTATGTTAGCGCCTATTCTAAAATATTTAAAAAAGTTTGTTATCTGGCTAAATCAATATTTATTAAAAATAAAATAAAAGGCGCACCTGATAAAATCAAAATGACGTGGAATATAATTAATAATGAAACGGGTAGAGTTACGAAGCGCAACTCTGACTTAACCTTAACTGATGGTATTAATACTATTCAATCTAATCAGGAGGTTGCCAATTTTTTCGAGAAATTTTTTGCTGACATTCCTGTTTCTACAACTAAGTCACTTCTCTCTTCTCCGACAATTGCCGAATCATTACTTAAGAAAAATGTTATGGAATGTAAAGAAAACTTTTAAGTTTACTACTGTTAATAAGAACGATATTATAAAAACATTCAAATCTCTAGATATTAAAAGAACTGCTGATCTCGGGATCTCTGCCAAGGTGATCAGTTCTATAATTGATGTAGTCTCACCTTACTTAGCAACTATTTTTAATATTTGTATTCAACGTGGCGAGTTTCCTGACCTTATGAAACATAATAAGATCATTCCGGTGTTCAAATCTGGTAGTACTTCTGACCCCAGCAATTTTAGACCTATTTCAGTACTACCAACTCTTAGTAAAATTTTTGAAAAAATTATTTTGAATCAAATGTTACTCTATTTTAGTACACAAAAATTGTTGCATAACAAGCAATATGGATTTATTAGGGGTCGCTCAACAACAGATGCGGGTATCCAGCTTGTTAAGAATATTTTTGAAGCCTGGGAAGAGTCACAGATTGCCATAGGTATATACTGTGACTTAACCAAAGCATTTGATTGTGTACAGCATGACTCTCTGGTCAGGAAACTACACCTCTATGGTATAAGAGATGCCGCACTCAATCTTCTGACATCGTACTTGAGCTATCGTGTTCAGAGAGTTGATGTGAATGGCAAGAGATCTCCCGGGGCCCTGGTAAGTATGGGGGTTCCACAGGGATCTATTCTGGGGCCTTTTCTCTTCCTCATCTACATAAATGACCTGCCCTATCTTGTTAATAATGATCATGAGATAGTATTGTTTGCTGATGATACTTCTTTAATTTTCAAAGTTAAACGACATTCTTTAAATTATGACGATGTTAACAATACTCCCTCCACTGTAGTGCATTGGTTTAGTGCTAACAACTTAATGTTGAATAGTAAAAAAACGAAATGTATTAAATTTACAACTCCCAACATAAAAAGTGTAAAAACTGATGTACTTTTACACGGGGAAGCGTTAGACCTAATTGACTCAACTGTATTTCTTGGCATAACTGTAGATGCCAAATTGCAGTGGGGCCCCCATATTAATAAACTGTCGAGTAGACTTAGCTCAGCAGTCTTCGCAGTCAAAAAAATTAGACAGTTGACTGATGTGGATACGGCTCGTCTGGTATATTTTAGCTATTTCCCCACAGTATAATGTCTTATGGCATTCTACTTTGGGGAAATGCAGCCGACATAAATACTATTTTCATCCTGCAAAAGAGAGCTATTCGAGCGGTTTATAACCTGGGCCCCAAAGATTCACTAAGGAACCTGTTTAAAGAAATAAAAATATTGACTGTAGCTTCTCAGTACATACTTGCTAATGTTATGTATGTCCACAAAAATAAGAATGACTTTTCAAGATTTAGTAATGTGCATGATGTTAATACAAGGAACAAGCATTAATTAGTTCTACCCTCAACTAGATTGCGTAGAATAAGTAAATCTTTTATGGGATATTGTATACGCTTTTACAACAAAATTCCAGAAAACGTTCAAAATGAATCCGTTGCTAAATTCAAAAAACTTGTAAAGGAACGTTTGTGTGTTAATGGCTATTATAGTATTAGTGATTATCTGAATGATAACACACTCTGGAAATTAATTGATCGCTCCAGGCTCTTTCAAGTGGAATTTAATAATTGTACACATATTTGTAATTTTTTTGGCAAGCAAAAAAAAAGTCGCCGGTTCTTCTCAGGTCAGTGGCTTTCCTTCCGAACCGGTGGTAGAGTTTTTTGACTATCAATAAGTAAGTGAATGCTTCTATATTGAATAAAGATATTTGACTTTGACTTTGATATAACCAGCTAAGGTACCAGCGCTCAGTAAAACCCAATTTAACATTTGCCTCGAAGAATTTGTAATTGGACAGATAGAATAACAATAAAATTCCAATGCTTCGCTGTAGGCATTATAAATGATCCTTTTAGTACCAATATGCAATTATGAAAGCGCTACTGAACTTCTATTCAAGTAGAAGAGGAGAGGGGTTTAAATTAAAACTATGCACTTGCAAAATCTAACAGTCCTCACGAAATACATACAACTGGCAGGCAATTATCAGTTTCTAAAGGTTGTTAAAAGAAAAAGACTACGTTATTTTTTGAATGGTAAAATAATTGGTTGATAATGTAAAATAGTTATTGTTTAATCACCTGCACTGGAGTCTCTGGGACGTAGCCGCCACCCATGAGGAGCAAGCCACCAACGGCGGTGATACCAGATACGGCATTGGTCACCGACATGAGTGGCGAGTGAAGCGCGGGCACCACTCCCCACACCGTGTGGTATCCTACCACGCCTGTTTTACAAAACATTTTTCGACATTGAAGCCCAGCCAACAAGTGCTTTCATCATGACATATTCTCCAAATAAATTGAAATATTTGGGTCACAGAATGCAGTTCTGACGTAAACCTCGTTCTGGACGGAAAATTTCGCATCTATGGTTCTCCAATTTCACGAAGCTTGAGCCATCGAAAAAGAAATTCTGTACACGGATTGTAGCGCATTGATTGCAGGTTTTGAGGTGTGCCCATCTCCGCCAAAACATAAAATATGTCTCCAAGCTAAGCCGTAGTTTTATAATGAACTGTAAATGAATTACCTGCCAACGCAAGTGTGGTCGTCATAGTAGTGAACGCAGGATTTGGTGATGCTATACCGAGCCCGATTAAACTGGCTAAGCCTGCAACAATACTGCAAATGATTAAATATATTTTTATGAAAATGAAGTCGATGAATGCATGTGGCTCAGGATCGTGCCCCGTCGCACTCTATGGGGAGGCCTACGTTAAGCAGTGGACTCAAACAGGCTGAAATGGTGATGATGATGAACAGATATTAAAAACTGGTATTTTATTAAATAATGATGTAATCTTATTAGTTGAATTAGCGCTTGAATCTGTTTAGTAACTACAAAACTTACCCGTGGAGTATAGGAAAGTATCTTTCAATGTTTCCTTGAATGGGTTAGGAGGTTCAGCCTTGGTAATTGCTGGTGCTTTGGTGGCAGTAGCAGGAGCCATACTGGGTGGCGGTGGTGGCGGCCAGAGAAGTTCTCCCGCCTTCAACACTATAGCCCCTCGGGTTACTTCATCCTCCAGGTTAATGTGGAAATGGTCATTTGTGCCTGTACAGGAACAAAATTGGGCACATTATAATACTGCAATACAGTGCAGTGTATTATAACATATATTAAGTGTGTATTATATAAATATGTTACTAGATTTCATATTTTCTTTTAAATAGTAAAATTTATCTACGGCAGGGCCTTGCAGCAACCTTTGCTCTTGCTGGGTATACTAACTTGAACTGAAATTATTATACCACTGTGTTTCATCTTGTGAGTGAACGGCCCACTTTTTAAAAGGTGGCGGCATTACTACAATCGGTTGGATACAACGATGTCATATCATCATTTGAAATACTTAATAGGTATATGTAATACTGGTATTTTACAACCTATGCTGAAGAGGAAGCCCGATATGTTGTTGGCGTAGAGAGTTGATGCGTGTGCCGGCATCCGACTGGGTAGGTCCGTTAGGCCGATGTGGGTCACTCCGTGCACTTTGGCGATCTCGCCCTTTTTGGTAGTCTCCACGTTGCCACCCATCTCGGCTGCCAGATCCACGATCACGCTGCCCGGTGCCATGTCACGTACGGCTTCCTTGAAATAGTTCTATTTGTTAGAACACTTTATGTGTGTATAACACTAGCCGCTGTCCGCGACTACGTTCGTAGAATAGGCTGAAGGCGTAACATTCAGACACAAAGACCTATATGCATAAAAGTATGGACATAAATGATAAGCTATGTTTTATTGTGATGTATAAGCTATATTATTGTAAAGTTTCATTAAAATCCATTCAGTAGTATTTGCGTGCAAGAGTAACAAACATTCATCCATACATACAAACTGTCGCCTTTATAATATTAGTAAGGAAGTAAGGATTATTTTTGCACCCATCGCATGCTAAACTTTTTTGTATGGGTACCTTTGAAAATTAACATAAAACTTTTTTTTTGTTATTATTTATTTGATGTTCGTATTTACATTCGTTCAATGAATACGGTTGTAAATAAATATGTAAAACGGTTATCACGCTTATTTCACGAAATAAATGCAAATAAAAAAGAATTTCTGAAAAAATATATTTTCTATCATGTTATCTTTGAAAACTTTAAACGGTTGCATCATTGTGTATTGAGCAAAGAGAGATATCAGAAAATTTGCATACAGTAATTAAAAACGCAGTGTTATCTAGTGTGTTACAAATGCCTGCAGTCACGTAAACCAACAGTGCACAAAAATTGCACGTTTTTTAATAGGCCCCGACTACAATTTTATGTTTTTAATATCGTCATCATTATAGTTCGTTAATGTTTACTTACAATGAAAAGAAATTTTCACATAACTAAACGTGTTACAATTATTTAGTTTTAAAATGAGTTCATTTCTTTTATTTTTTATTTTCAAAGAAAATTCCGCGCCAAAATAACGCAAACAAGGGCTACAAAGGGAACTACTACATGACTCGGAACGATTATATGGAAGCCACAAATTGCTATCCCGTGTGTCCTTGACAATTAATTGACCTCTATGGTCAGCCCCTGACGTAATTACCATTATTAGAAAAAAAAGGAACGCTCAAACTTGCCTCTAGAATAAGCAATGGTGCAGGTTTCCCGGGTATTAGCGCAGTGCTTATGACCACATCCGAGGTCCTCGCCTCCTTGCCGAGGAGAGCTCGTTCCGCATTCAAAAATGCCTCGCTCATCTCTTTCGCGTAACCACCTTCGCCGGCACCCTCCTCCTGTAATATCGGGGGGTAAAAATATTTTTTTGCGTGTTATACTACATAACTACGAGGATACAATAATAATTCACACGAGCTACATAAATAATGCATTAACTAAACACTATTCAACAAAATCATCGTGCAAAATCAAAAGATAAATATAATAAAAAATGCTCAATATGAAAATCTATGTTTTCCTTTTAACAGTTATTATTTCTTTTTATATTCATCTTAAATCTTTAATTTATATTACAAATATGTGTATATCTCAACAATTTAAATAAATAAAATAAATATACCTAATTTAATATATCTTAACAAAGTAAATATATATAATTATGTAAAGTATTTATCGTAACTGCCTTATTTATTTGTTATGAACGAACACAATTACTGATTGTGGGCTAACTTGTGAAGGTAACAGTTGTGAATCAATAGGGTATACAATATGCAATGCTACGTGACAGCGTAACGTCTATGTCTACGTAGAGGTCAGAGCTAGGACAATTACCAATGGCGATAGCAGCCAAGGCCAGGGTGGACGCTGCACCCCAACCACAAGGATTAGGGTGCACACCACCTCTGAAAAGTAAATTTTTATATGAGCACGGCACACTTTTTGACTTTTTTTTTTCAATGATAAATATATCAATAATAAATACCAGCAGAAGGTAAATTTTTACATTTACTTTTCTACCAAAATATTTGCATTACGCCTTCTTCAGAAACATTTAGTACAATTATACTAACGCGACAAATCGAATTGCGAAACGGTCGTCATCCGGCAACTATCAATTAACACAATTTATCGACGACCAGACGCCCCGAGCGTTTCGAGAGGAACGCGCTTAGCTGATACGAAAACATAAACCTTCCCCCCCGTTGAAAACGAAATCGCTCACCGTCATGTCCATGGTGATGAACTGGGCGCCGAGGCTTTCGATCTGCTCGCGTACGGCGGGGCGCGTGTCGAAGGCGCGCACTGCGGCGCCCATGCAACGGGCCTGCGCCGCCGCCGCCAGGCCAGCCACGCCGCCGCCCACCACCAGCACCCGGCACGGCGGCACTCGGCCCGCCGCCGTCATTTGCCCTGAACGGCAGTACTGATAAGATCTCTCATGACACCACGGCGCAGTTGCCAAGGTATCGGCTTCGGCGTTGGCCGTCGTGGGTTCGATTCCCACACGAGACAACCGACAGAAAAATGTTTATCACTATATGTTTGATTTTGGGTGTTTGTCTACGTGACATTTATGTATGTTAAACATTCTTAAAACACAGGATAATGTTACTGTAGGTTAGCAAAGGGGCAATGATTTCAAAGGGAATACTAACATAGATCATCTAGGTCGGAGTGGCCATTGGTTTACTACCCAAACTCTTCCACATATACAAAGCCTCAATTAACACTATAATAATACTATGTATGCGACATTATATCGTACTGTCTTTTTACTAATACAATGTATATTACTATTTACTACGCATGAGCGGTAGTTACTATGCTGCGCGTAGACAGGTTTCTAATACCAACAAAAGAATCTTAACTTTCTGCATAGGCGGCAATGCTCGAGAAGATGCATTTCCTAAGTATTGATACATATTTCACCATCGTCACTGTATGCTTGATACCTAGGAATTATTATTTTTTGTATATAGAATTCGGGTTACTAAAATAACAAGATAAAATGCACAAAATTGCTGTTTTACTTTTTTTACGTCAATAACTTTCCTAAATACGCAATATATCAGTGTGTTTATGTTTTCGGAGTAGGAATAAATGATTATCATAAACAGCTTATACGATAAGTTTATTTTGAGTGGTATCTTGGAAATGTGTTAAAATAATTCATGTATTCGGAAAATAATATGAAATGATATAATTTTCAAATTTCAAAATAAATATTTGCATATTGTGTTAAGATTACGCCAATAAAACGATATATTTTTCATGAGATTTGGTACCTAATACTTGAATAATTACTTACATACTTCCTAAAATTATTAATTCCAATTAAACTTTAAATTGTAGGCATTATACAAGTGTTATGGCACAGATAAGCCAACGTTGATAATACGGAACATGAAACAAATATGAGACACGGGAAAATATGCAAATATTTTTGTCGCTACTAATAGCTTAAATCTCCGACTACCCTCTTTTTGTTGATTCTAAAAAAAAAGTGGTCAAAGTGGACTCCTTTCGAAGTGAAACCAGCCCCAAGCAGGTAGATGGTTTCGATATGAAAAAATATACACAATGAGAAATTTCTACCTGAAAAAAAGCGCGGGAAGTGTGCTGCGGCTTCGATGACGGCACGATAGCCGGCTACGTTAGCCATAGAGCTCAGTGCGTCGAACGCTTGGGCGCGGCTAATTCGGGGAATGCAATCCATAGCTAAAAAAATGTTATAACGCATAAAAAAAAGAACACTAGTTTAACAAGATAATTCGTAAACTTGAAGCAGAATAAGAATACTTACCAAACGCATTCACTTTTTTTGCTGATAATTTCTTAATTAGATCCAGGTTTTGTGCCGGGTATAAAAACGATATAATTGAACTCTCATCATTTAAATTTTGTACCTCATTATCAATCAGAGGACGTACTTTGAGAATTATATCTAAAATGAATGGGTTAATAGATTAAAAACTCAATTTAACAAATGTAGGCACTTACGTATTAACTTCAGTCTATTATTTAACCAGCTAATGCCCTGACTACGTCTGCGTAAAATAGGCTGAAGGTGTAACATTCAGACAGATATACATAAAATATGTATATAATTTATAGCCTATGCCTCATTCTGATGTATAAGCTATATTATTTTTAAGTTTCATTAAAATCCATTCAATAGTATTTGCGTGCAAGAGTAACAAACATCCATCAATACATACATACAAACTTTCGCCTTTATATTACTAGTAAGGGTTAATTAATGATACGTATCATAGTGTACAAAATATATATGAAATACAAAATATTTTTCGATTGTCTCGATTTTTAAATAGATTATCAACTTCCTGCAGAACATCCCAGTATTGTCCTAAATGTTTAATTGTTTCTAATCGTAAACCGTTATAGAAGCTTCCCATCCTTTCCTAAAACCTCTATATTTTCAAATAAATGAAATATGGTACAATGCAAAAATATTTACTCGATTTATAAGTCTCCTTCAAGCTAGTTATTTTAGCACCCGCTTCTTCGTATGATTTATTAGGAAAGTTTGCTAATACTCCTGCATTTTCCTCTATGTTAACGTTAAACCCTTTTTTGACTAATTTACTAACTACTGCCGGTACTACAGCAACCCTGCAAAAATGTTATATATTTATTCATTCGATAATTTTTACATGCTGGGTAATATTAGATATATTTATTGAATATTATGAATTAATTTGTGGCTTTAAGTAACAAATACCTTCGTTCGTCTTGCCACACTTCTTTCGGTACACCAACAGATAATTTTGTATACGGTACACCTTGAGGTGGTGGCGGGGTTGACGACGAGCTAAAAACTCGTCGATGCCAAGACCGTGGCAACGGTTTACGGATGCCAAGCACTCTTACACAGCCGCACATGTCGGTTTTTAAGCTGTAAATGACAACAATGTAATAAATAGCCCATAAAATAAATAACTTTAGATATTTATTACTATTTTTAATACATACACGGCTAGGCACAAAATTATATATTTAACAAGACCTAATGAAACAACTAATACGTAAGAATACAAAACTATTTCTTTATTTATTTATTTACTATATCGGAGTTCATCCGAATCAAAAAATTATTCTAATGAATCATTTTAATAACGTTGTGTTCAATGCATATTTTAAGAGAAAATAAGTTGTCTTTAATACTTAGATTATAATTATGCTCATCGATGTGTACTTAATTATAAAGCTTCAATAAGAATAATGTGATTGACTATCGTTAACTTGATCATATTTGCGCTACATACATATCTCGGTCATTAATGCTAAACATTAAGTCAAGTCTCAAATGTGTTTCGAAAAAATATGGCACATGGATACATAAATAGATCATGAAGCTAAACTTCGATTAGAATTGTCTCAGACGAAAGCACTTCAATTCGAAATACTGAAAGACTGTCACCGGTTGATCTATTATTCAATTTTCTTAATAACATCAAAAATGTATAATATTAGTACTATACTATATAAATGATAACAGTTGGAATTAAAGCGTTAAAGGATTTTTTAAATGTATATAATTCTTTAATTTTCATGTCTGAACGTTAACACGGTCCATTAACAAAGAGAGTAACAACTTAATTATGTACATGTAGACACCAGAATTTTTAAATTCATAATAAACGTCCAATCTTTACGTGTAATTTTAGTTTTTAAACTAAAATCTATCAATTGTATATAAATATTATCTTTCTAGGTAGGTGTGTTTATAGATATTAAATTTAGTGTAAAATACTAACAATACTAAATAATACTAAAATACTAACTTAATTTTATTATAAACAGTTTTTTATTCATGCACGTTATTTAATTTTAATAAGACACGTTCATCATCTATGATCTAGCAAGTAAAGAAATTTAATCATCTTACCTGTTCCAGAGGGACGTTATGGATATATCATTCGTATCTTTTATAATAATGTACTAATAAATGAATTTTTTTATAGTTATTCGTTCACAATATGATATGGTGCGTGGTTTTGGTGGCGTCGACAAAAGACACTATCACACTAGTTAGGCAGGCGTACAGAATGAAAGCCACAACGAATATTTTTACATGTATCCTATACAAGTGGTAGAGCGCTAGGCAGCCGGCCGGTCTCGTTCAGTCGCATAATACATTGCACTCGCTCAAGCCACAGAATAAATAAATAGCGTCGTGTTCGTGTCACGTCATCAGACCAGGCGCCACCGCGCCAGTTTAATGCTTTACGGGGTATACTCAATACATTTGTAACGTTTAATCATATGCTTGGAAAGTATAAATATTAAATACCCATTGATTATATTATGTTACATTACATTTAACTTTGCAGACTCAACTAACATTAATCAGTGATCGCTCGTAAGCTATCTTTATTTAATAGGTAAGATTTATAAAATATTTAACAGGCTTTTTTGAATGTAACAGTATTTATGATGTCCGTTTTCATGATATCGCACGAAATATGTTATTAATTGATTTGACGAAAATTTGTATTACTGATCCCTAAAATTTTGAAACAAATATTTTTATGAATATCAAATATATATGTACACAATTTGTGTTATACTAAGATCATCATAATATTGTACATAGTTTTAAAGTTCCATTCCATCACTGACACATTATTACTTGCTATAATAAATGTATGGCTGTTAAGTACTGAATTTAATTTAATGACAGGTGCGTTTTATCCCTCTAGCTGAATTTGTAAGGTTATCATTGATAACTACAGCTAAACCACAGGAATAATAAGAAAAATACTATGGCTAGTAAAAACGCGAAGCGGCTTTTCCAGTATATTACGGAGCCGACATTTCCGGTACGAAATTGTAAGTTAAACATTTGTATATTTTAAATACTTGTTAACATACTTTAAAGAAATTGTATTCAAATGTTATGTATGCATTATTTAAAATCATATTTGTGCCAAAAAAAATTAAGGTTTATGTATTCAGTGTATGAAATTTTTCTATCATCAATTTTACCAATATGTATTTCTTATATAAAAATTTTAGTGATTTGAGCTTTCCCTATTTTCTTTGCATTTCCTAAAAAAACAAATAGATCGTAAAAACAAAATTGTAATTTGTTACAATTTTCATATAAAATAGTTAATTATGGCTGTGTGTTAAAAAATAGTAATTTGGTTGGCCTTTCCCATATTCAAAGTAAAAATTTCACAAATTTTCATTTCAAAATTTACTAAAAAATGTGTACATGTAACTAAAAAAACATAACAAGTATGTTGTATTATATATACAATGAATACTATATTTTCATTCTTTATCATACAATAATAAGCAGTCACTTCCTAAAGTAAACGATACTAACAAATGTTGATTACCAATTGCTTTCAATTTAGCAATTCAGACAAAATATCCGTACAAGTCCATATTATGCAAGTTGTTAAACCAGGACATGAAATATGAATAAAAGCTATGTTTTGTGGCTTTATTAATTTTGAAGTAATTTTCATTTTTAATGAATGGAACCGGAACCTGTCCATTTATAGAATGATTCTATACCTCAGAGGCATAAAATGGTAACTCCACATTTTTCAAAATTATTTTTCTTACACCATTAAAATTGCGAGAACAACTTCTACACAATACTATAAAGTATTAAGTCCTACAACACTTAATTAATAAAATATCCAATTGTTTATGACATCATAATAAATAATGCGTTCAAAGATTACCTCACATATTTTTGCAAATTTGTGTTTTGTCACATAATGCAGTTTACCCCTTTTATGGATGAAACTAGCATCTTGTATATAATATTTTAAAAATTACTTTACATAAAGCAATGGGCTGCTTTATGTACAATATAATTATGTATGACACAAATCCAAGAAAGAAATAAAGTTGTCAATAAATACTTTGTTTTGAAGCCCTGTTGTGTTACAATTTTTTGTAATTATATTAAATTCTCTTAGATGGAACATCAAAACGTGTTGTGGCTGCAAAGCCTGTTGTGGACATGGATGGAGATGAGATGACTCGCATTATATGGGAGAAAATAAAAGAAAAGCTTATTTTTCCATATGTTAAAGTAAGTATTTTTTTGATAATTATATCTGAATGAAAGTGTCTATCATAGATTAAACATTCAATATCACATTTTGTTTAATTGAAATGTCTCTGTGCCCTTACTAAAAATATTTAATATTTGTATGTACTCAAAATAAATACCTATTTCATATCTTGACTGGTTATTGTTAAGTGTACTTCAAAAGCATTGCTGTTAAAATCATCTTTCATCATTAAAGTTAATTTATTTTTGTGTGTAAAATATTTTGTACTAATTTCATATTTATTATCTCCAATAACCGTCATTATCCTTTTATATCATTATGGTAGTGCCGTATAGTATTTGCTGGCTTTGGTTCACTCACAAAGAAAATAATGATATAGCGTAAAAAGTCCGGTTTCTATTTTGAAGTTTAATATTAAACTTTATATATAATATTTACCTTACAAATATTATTGCAAAATGTAACAATCTAATTTCTTTGAAGTTGGATGTTTTAATAACTATTTGTATATAATATCATTGTTTCAAGTATTATTGGACAAAAACTTCGATGTAATTGTTCCCCCGCGACATAAAATACGTGATAAGCAATCTTAATCCCCTTATCTGAACACTATCTAAATAGCAGTAAAAACAAAAATGAAATTTCAATTACTTTGTATGCAGGCGCTTTCTTATGATGAGAAATGGTAATAATTTACGAGTGATAAATTATTGACAAATATTTAAAACAAAACTGTTTTTGACACTACCGGTAGGCGGTACGTACATAGCTTCTGTCAAATACGAATCAAATGTCTATGAATAAAACTAACAGTAGGTAGACTAAAAAAGCGGGCACATTAATAAAGAATGATTCTTTATTTCTTCAATAAATTAGAGAGTGTCATCACGATTTAAATGAATCTGTATGTGCTGCCACGCGACGAAGTGCATTTAACGGCGCGTAATTGACATAGGTTATAAATTTGTTTTTTTTTTGGGGCTTGATGAGCCACTGTTGGCCTTAGTTAGGGGCCTTTACAGTTTCGCCGAACTTGAGGTGGCCGGGCGCTCGTGGCGCCTAGCCTGATCCTCAGCGTAAGGTGACTAAGCTCGAGGGCTCGGGGGGGGGGGGGGGGGGGGGGCTCGGCTTGGGCCGTCACGCTATTATTATCATTACCGATTTGGAAGGCCAACAAGCTCTTAGGGCGCTTTGGTGGACGCTCCATGGAGTGACCAGGATCAAGGGCCCCCGAGAGGGGACCTCGTTACGAAAGTTGTCTACTTCCCTTCAGCCTATGTAAGAGTTTTAATAATTCTCGATTCCATATCTACATAGCCCAAACATTATTTAATAATTTGTTTTATCTTACGTAAGATTGTAAATTTTTGTGGATAAACGAACAAAAACTTTCAGCGCTGCGGGATTCGAATTTGCGTCTTCTGGTTTCGAGTTTCGTTTTATTCGAATCCCGCAGTACCAAAAGTTTTTTCATTTATCTGCAAAATTTTTAAATTTAAATGTTCATCTTGAGTGCAGCGACTATCACTTAAAATAAAAATTTATCTTAAAATACGTAAGAATTATACCGCCGCTTCCTTTATCAGCAAAATTGAGATAAAGTTGAGTCCCTCCATTCAGCTTACTTACGTAATACACGAACGTCAATCGAATTGCGTTGGTGAGATCGTTTGGTGTCGATTTTAATTGTAACAATGACCACTTCGTGGCTCTGGAAAGTATATTTATTTATTTATTTGTAGCATCACAAAGCAGAATGACAACGTATTTAAATAATGATACAAATACAATATTATAACATTCAGTTGACATTCCAAGTATGCGACGACAGCAAGTTATATAAGAAAAAAACAAGTAAATTGATGGTACATACTATAAAAATGACAAAGAAAGTGATAAATATTTGTGACAAAAGATAATAAAAAACTTATAACTAATAACTATATAGCTAAAATAGAATAATTGAGAACAATATCATGAAGCATTTAAGGCTGCTTTCAATCTCCGTTTAAATGTGAACAGATCATCACCCCAAATATCCAGCTCAGGATGTTTCAGAACCACTGAATTATAATTTCGGCTAATTCTAGATAGAGGTTTATTGTAAGTGATGTTTGTACGATGAGTTGGAACATAAAACAGTTCAAATTTTCTTAAATTGCGCATGGGTACATTAACATATAATGTTATATTTGACTCTGATTTAGTTTTTAATTTCGATCAGAGGTTAAAAACCTCGCCTAAATATTTATTCATTTGATGTTGAAACGATTTGTCTTGAATAATTATGATAACTTTGGAATATTTATGAAACATGATTAATAGTCTAAAGTTAATTTCTTTTACATTTGGTCAGAGTGTAAACAGAGTTTCTCAGAACGTCTATTTCATTCGAGAACAGGTTTAAGAGCTGAAAGTTGTTTTTCTATACTCCTTGTAAAGAGCCGGATTAATAACACTCAATCTTATATTCAACCGACTTCAAAAACGGAGGAGGTTCTCAATTCGACCGTATGATTTTTTAAGTTTGTTACCTCAGAACTTTCGACTGAGTGAACGGTGATTCTTATATTATTTTAAAGCTGGTGCTTCCCATGTGGTCACATATTAATTTCATTGGTATTGGATCTTTGCCTCCGGAGATACGTAGGGAACTCCTGCAAATCAATTATAAAATGAATACAGAGCGAGATATTTGAAGTTGGTTTTGTTTTACGTTAATAAAAAAAATTACTTGTATTCTAACTTGTAGACTTGTTAATAAAAATATATTGTGTTTACTCAGTGTAAAATACCCTAAGTTAGTTGGTTTGCGATAACCAACTAACTTAGGTTTAATAGATCAATGTTTAGAATAAGAAAATAGTAGTATCTTATTTAATTATAAACAATAGAATCTATTGTGGTTGCTTCCAGACAAATATTTTTATCGGCCTTAGAAGAGAACATCTCTTTGTGCTCCAACAAACGACGTAGTTACAAAGAAAATAAGTTAACATATTGGAAGAGCCTTGTCCGGGCAAGTATCAAGACGTTTCTCGAATACCCGTGGTGTTGCAGGTTCGTTGTCACCTTTTAATAAAGTTGGCCCCGGTTACCTCACTCCTCAGGCATAACGCCAAAGTATAAAACTTCCACTTAACGCATGTCTTCTGTGAGGTCGTGGTACTTCCCCGGACAAGTCTGCCCATTCGTGCAACAGCAAAGAATGCTGCGTGGCCCTACTACACTGGAAGAACTATTGGTTCTTTTTACATTTTGCAAAGTTACTCCACTGGTGTTTTAATTTGACTGCGTTATATAATAACATAATATCGAAGAACTACTCGTAGATATGACACTGGCGCACCGAAACTGGAGCACTCACATTACGCCAATTGGTGTAATTACATTGCAATTCTATAGACTGCTATCTCGTTCCGTATCATACGTTCTATATCTAATGTCACATTCACATATATATGTCACATAGTGTAAAGCAGAACATTTTCCATTTACAAGATCTTTATTAAAACAAAATTGATCAAATCTGTGGATCAATAAATTTAGTCTTTACTGTAATTGTCTCGGTAGCGAAATAACATTTTGTACTTTGAACTTCATTAATTAGCGTAGAATATCGCAGTTTATAAGGTCAGTTTAGTGAGCATGTAGCCGAGATGTATGTTAATTGATAAGTCTCTTACGTATTTGTTCTCGCGATTATATTAATTGAGGAGCGTTGGAACAAAAACCCATATATCACATTTTAACATTTTTTTTATTTTAAGTATGTCAATTTGTAGTTTACGTATATGTCTATAGCCATCTTCCATCAAATCGCTTACCATCCACGGCTGCATGGCCACTTACCATCAGGTGGGATGGCAGTCAAGCGCTAGTCAGTTCCATATATTTTAAAAACTTGCTCAAAACTCAGTAATCTGAACATAAACCCAATATATCGATAAGTCAATCGATTTTTTTCATGATTGGAACATACACCGACAAAACTTTAGAAATTTTCATGGGTTAAGCATTTGGTTGTTTGAAAACCGACAAGTCCGTAGAAATATGTATTATCTTTCAATTTCCCGAAAAAATGGAAAAAATACTTTACTGTTTTTACGATAATGCAGAGTTAATTATAAAACGAAGCTATAAAACTGCTTACACTTTAATTGTATTTGGACCTCATAAAAAATTATTTTGTGTTTACTCAATGTGTGTGGGTGTGTCAACTTATTGTTTTTATTATAGAGTATTGGTATCTAATCGTGGAATACAATGTATCATCATAACGCGGGTGTTGTATCGAGTGTCTGATAACGGAGAAATTCCAACTGCTAAAGTATTGCGATATTCATGAAATAAAATTCCGTAATATTACGAAAAACCGGTAGAAAATGATATCAGCAAATAATCAATTAGGGTAACTACAAAATTAAGCGATCGTACACTTCACCTCAATACAGGTTTTTCTTTGTCTGGGACGGACTACTAAATTAAAAGTAGTTATCAAAAGAGACAAAGTCTTTAATCATGCTTGAGGTCAGCAACAGTGTAACCCTCAGACGTCCTCGGTATTAAAAATAAAGTTGCAGAACCTGAACCAAATATATAATCCTGTTTCATTGTGATCGTATGCGCTTGCTTATCAAAAGGGCCCGGCTGACAACTGGTTTTGCTAACAGTAAAGACCCGCCCGCTTTATCGGTCATGATTCCGAACGCTGTACTCGATAACTCGCTATCGACTGGCCTCGTATAATGTTATTATTCTATTGCACAGAAAACCAAATGCATACATTTTGTATTCATACCATTTGTTTGGTTTACTATTTGCATTAACTCTATATTAGTTGTTCGACTAAGACAAATGAAGCAACTTACTTTAGGAGTATTTATCGAATATATTATAGTTTATTGCTTGTACAATATTAAAAAAAAATAATGCTTTAGGTCGGGTAACCAAACTATTTAGGCGGTGCGTCGTATAATCGATCTATTTAAGTGAAAATGTAACTGCGTATGTATGTTCTGTATGAACACCAACACGGATGAACCGATTTTAATAAATTTTTAGACAATCTTCAGATTCGCTCAGTATTTACAGGTTTGGGGGCGATCGGTTTCATTTTTTTTTAATTAGTGATACCCTATCGCCATTTTGCTTGTCGTAATAAGTATCAAGGTTCTTTCCGATAAATAAACGTTAGCCACTAACATTTGATTAGGCATTAATATCGACGGCCTGCCCACTTATGTCGCAATTTCCCTTCTGTAGCTTGATTGCTTGTACTACGACCTGGGTCTGCCCCACCGAGACGCGACCAACGATCAGGTCACTATTGACGCAGCGCACGCCATCCTGAAGCACAATGTCGGCATCAAGTGTGCCACAATTACGCCGGACGAGCAGAGGGTCGAAGGTGATTCGTCTAAATTATTAAATGTGTGATAACTGCGGTAGGGCCACGCAACAGTGTTTACTGTTGCACGAATGGCCAGTTCCGTCCGGGTAAGTACCACGATCTCACGAAAGACCGGCGTAAAGTAGAAGGGTTACACTTCTGCATTTTATCTCGTGAGTGAGGTAGCCGAGGCCCACTTTATTTAAAGGTGGCAACGCATTTGCAAACCCAGGGGTGTTGTAAAAGTACATGGCCAGTGGTTATTACTAGCTCATGCAGGCAGGTGAACCGCTTGCTCGTTCGCTACTTTATCACAATAAAAAAAAATGTTTTACCTCCAGTCCCATAGAGTATTTAAAGCTTCACTCACAGAACCACGAAAACAGCAATGTTTCCGGGGTTTTTAAAGCGCCCAGGCACTTTCTATAACATCGCTGTCGATAATTTTCTGTGGAGTCAAGGGCAGTGATGTTGCGTCGTCTTAATGTTTTTAAATATAAAAACTAAACAGTTTTTTTGGTTTTATGTCATTTAGTAGTAAAACAGTGAAAGGGAAAAAAATACTTAAAATCACATTTCTTTACTGAGAGACTACGAATTTTACTGAGAGTAAGCGTGTTTCCTCTTTCACATCGAAAATTGCAGATAGGATTTTAATTAAATTTTAAGTAAGGGCATGCATGATGAAAGGCAGACGTAGATCAATAAACCGGATTAAAATAATTGATAATAAAGGGATCGAAGTCATGTGCATACCAAATGGATGTGGTTGACTTATACGCTGGATGTAAATATTGTATTGTATTCTATATTTGGTGACCTGGGAGATCTATTGTAATTTTCCCTTCGAGATCATTGCCCCGTTACTAGGATAACACTATCATGTGCTGTAAGGACGTTTTACAAACATAAATATCACGTGGACAATCGATTCGAAATCCAGATCGAAAACAATTATTCGTAGTACTATTTGTGTAGTTTTCTCGTATGGCAATCGAAAGTCACCCTGGCGCCGAAGCTTAGCCGAAATTTCACTATGTATATAAGAATAGAATCTGAGTTTAAAGCTATTAATGTGAACGAAGTCGAATGTCCGTAGAGTTCAAGCTGAAGAAGATGTGGCTGAGCCCTAACGGAACCATCCGGAACATCCTGGGCGGCACTGTCTTCCGGGAGCCGATTCTATGCAAGAGTATCCCCCGCGTCATACCCGGCTGGACCAAAGCCATCGTGATCGGACGTCACGCTCACGGGGATCAGTACAAGGCGCAGGACTTCGTCGTACCCCAGCCCGGAAAGGTGCGACTCCGAACCTGATGACGTCACCCGAGAACAGTTGCATTGCCGATTATTTAACAATTTGCCTTGTCCAGTCCAAATATTTCGTCCCGTTCTTTTTAGCTTCAAAACTATGAGCTCCAGTTCTGAAACTTCGAAGTCTCAAAACTGCATGACTATATAAATTTGCCTCTTTGCCACTTGTATTTGTTTGTCTGCTCGGTAATTTATGCAAACGTCTGGAAATAAATGATAAATTATCAAACAGGTCGAGCTAGTCTACACAAAATCGGATGGCACTACGGAGAAATACCTGTTGTACGACTTCAAGACGCCGGGCGTTGCCTTAGGAATGTATAACACCGATGAATCTATCGAAGCTTTCGCGCATTCTAGTTTCCAGGTAAGCCAAGAAGAGTATTTTTAAATGTACCTATTTTTTTTTAAATATCCGTTGTTCTTTGTGTGATTTTCCATGGTGTTAACATTAAATTCTTGTGTTATCAGGTCGCCTTACAAAAGAAATGGCCGCTCTACCTTTCCACGAAGAACACTATCCTTAAACGTTACGATGGTCGGTTTAAGGACATCTTCCAGGAAATTTATGAGAGGTAAAGCAAACAAATAACGAATTGATGTAAAAAATACGGAGAGGCAAATTAAACTAAAAATTAAATGACTTGCCTACTTTTATTACATTTGCCCATGAAGTAATGCTTAATCTTAAATTACAAATTAAATTAGTACTGGTTAAATTACTAATATCATAAATGCGAAAGTTTGTATGTATGGATGGATGTTTGTTACTCTTTCACGCAAATACTACTGAATGGATTCGCACGAAACTTAACAATAATATGGCTTATACATCCGAAGACATAGACAATTATATACATATTTTATGTATATCTGTCTTTCTGTCTGAATGTTACGCCTTCAGCCTATTCTACGTAGACGTAGTCGCGGGCAGCTGCTAGTTTAACATGAACTCAAACTAAAATGTTATAAAAAAGGCCGTCATAATTGTATCTATTACTCACTGAATAACTGATTCCTACTATAAGACCCTGTAAATTGAAATTATATTATTTGCAGCACGTACAAGAGACAGTTTGAAGATGCCAAGATTTGGTACGAACACCGTCTTATAGATGATATGGTGGCCCAAGCGACCAAGAGTTCGGGCGGTTTCGTATGGGCCTGCAAGAACTACGATGGCGATGTGCAGTCCGACATTGTCGCCCAGGTGATTCTCATTTAGAATCCTCTTTTTTATCGCGTGGCAACACTAAAGCTGGTTGAATAAAGAAACAATGAATTTCCAGCGTAGATAATAACAGATAATTTCTAAAGTATCTTTACCCGTATCCTTTTCCTTTATCCTTCATGACTGTAAATTTTTACCACCTGATTAATTTAAATGCGCCCTTTCCAACTATCGAACTATGAACTTAACCTTCGTCTGTTCAGTGGTGAAAACGTGGTTTATTTATATAAAAATTAATATATACAAATAATAGATTAATTCCTAAATAATTCCTGATTAATAAATCAATTCCTAATAAAAACATAATCCTCTCCAAATTTAAGTAAAGTTTTTTATAATCGTTATTGGAAATGCTATTGAAAATGTGTAAAAGTAGGTACAAAATATAGGTTAAATTGTACATAAAGGTTGTTATAAAGGAATCAGCAGAGTATATTCGGGAGTCAGGACACAAATCGAAATTTAACAATATATAAGCTATGAATATGTCGTTATACATTCGTTACAGAGTTTTCAGTTTTCCAATTTGAATAGCGAATTCATACAAACATACTAGAGAACAACAAGCGACGTTCAGTTTTCGGAATTTCGTATTAATAACCTTTATGACTTATAATCACCAACATTATACACAAATATTTTAAAACAAAAAATTCTGTGACTTGCTATCATTTAATATTTATGTCACCTACATAGTATTGTTTATGCGTATTAAAACACAAATCTTAAATATCGGGCGTAGGTACGGCAAAATTGATAAGAAAAATTTCGACGCGAGGCTTATTATGACAAAAATGTGACTTTATTCAGGGCTACGGGTCCCTGGGCATGATGACGTCGGTGCTGATGTGCCCGGACGGGCGCACCGTCGAGTCGGAGGCGGCCCATGGCACGGTGACGCGCCACTACCGCATGCACCAGCAGGGCAAGCCCACCTCCACCAACCCGGTGGCCTCGATCTACGCCTGGACGAGGGGGCTCATCCACCGCGCCAAGTTGGACAACACGCCTGAACTGGAGCGTTTTGCATTGTCACTTGAAGAGGTATGTTTATCTGGAAGTGTCTAGTATATTGTGCTCTATGGTCTAAGTCGACTCGGCCGACGACGATTTTCAACTGACTTCAAAGGAGGTTCAAAAGTCAAAGGAGGTTCTCAATTGCACTAATTTTTTTTAAAGTTTGTTACCTCATAACTTTCGATAACTTTCGACTGATGAACCGACATTAGAGAACTCCTGAAAATCAATTATAAAATGAATACAGAGCGAGATATTTGAAGTCGGTTTTGTTTTTCATTACTATATGTTTGCATATCATCCTCTGAGTGAGGTAATTGAAGGCCAATTTCTCTCGCAATTCTCCAGAAAATCTTATAGTGTTCTAGATATGTAAAAATAACTTTATGGGCTAGATAACTAGCATATAGGTGAAAAAAATATTGAGATATCAAGATTATAATTATCAAGATAAGACATTGCAAATTGCATTATCTCGCATATCTTGGTGATTGTGTGGTTAGATGAATAACTACTGTAATTCCAGTTAAATAATTAGATAATTATATTATTAACTTCATTTTTGGGTAGGTGAATATCAATAACAATAACATATTTAAAATTTGTCTTCAGGCTTGCACCGAATGCATTGATAGTGGAAAAATGACAAAGGACTTGGTGATTTGTATCCACGGCATGGCTAACACCAAGGAAGGAATGTACTTAAATACAGAAGACTTTCTTCAAGCTATAGCAGATCAACTTGAACATAAATTGTCAAAGTAGAAAAAAATTATAAATCCATCTCATTAAAATCAATTCCTTCTTTTCACTTGTAATCATTATGTATAATATTCCATAAATTAAGAGAAACGGTCGAGTATTTCTTATAATATTTGTTTTTTTGATATGTTATGTACTTTGATGACTGATGACATTGTACAGAGATTAACTTGATATTGTCATTATTGGCAACAAACATACACTGATGCATCATTGAGTATCGTTTTCCTTATAATGAAATTTGCTTCCTATTTTATACAATTATTTAAAATGTACTTATTGCTGCAAAAGTGTGTGGCCAGGTGCTTTATATTAAAGAAAGACCTATATTTTGAAAATAATTCTTTGTACCTATTGTTCAATAAACTGTAACAGTAGTTATTCAAAATTTTTGCTTACATTGTCTTATTTAAACCATTACCTCTATTGTCCTGCACTAATTATTTTTAAGAAATAATATGTTTTATGGTGAGTGGTAATTTACAGGTTTGCATTTCTGGTTTTTTCACACATTTTATGCATTATTTATGCTGCAATGAGATGAATAAACTGTTAACCAACAGAGTAATATCAAAATTAACCTTCCAGGAACTAAGAGAACTGTCTGGCTCATAGAACTAGGAACCCATGGTCATAAGTTCCCCTCTAACAATCACCATCATAACACTGGTACCATGGTACTTTGGTGATGATATTACGTTGATTTTTCCGCAAGACAAGTTTCTCCAAGAAAGGGAAACCTTGGCCACCCTCTTTAAATATTAAAGAGACATAAATAGAAACAAGGGCGGATCCAGCTTTGGTGCCGGGGGGGGGGGGGGGGGGGGGGTCACATAGTCGTGGTCAAGTGATAAGAAGTTATAATTTATTTTATAATCACAGATAGAAGTAAAAAGTAGGTACTTATTTTTAACCGACTTCAAAAAGAAGGAAGAGACAATTCGGATGTTTATATTTTTTTTATGTGGGTATGTTCGCGCATACCTTCGTCATATATAGACGGATTTGCAAAATTCTGTTCTGCTCATACATAGCGTTGATTTTTATTATCATATATTATACAGGTTGGCTTTTATAAAGGTGCCCAAATTCACACCGGAGGTTCAGGCTCGGTAATATAATCGTTTATAGAAATAAAAACATACTTTTAAAAAAAAAATGGCATTCTATTTCCTAAAAACGACAACAAACTTCTTGACAATGCGGTAGTCATTCATAAATGCGTCTACTTTTTAAACGAAATTGTGTGCGTGTTAGTTATGAATGATCGCGGGTAAAATAAATGAGTTGCCCATAAATCACGCACTTTCGAGATAAGTTCAAATGAATGTAATTAATTAATTATCAGTGATTTTAAATATTTATCATTTCTATATAACTTTATTTATGTTTAAAATTTTATAAAAAAAATGGATACACTTAGGAAAGCCACCCTGTATAGTATTTTTTTAAGTAGCTGTTGGTAGGTTTACTTATTTTTGGAATTTCTTTTATTTATTTCTTCGTTAACAGATTTTATATAGTCATATTGGTTATAATATTCTTTATTCCTCTACTCCGCACGCTGGCTCCACTTCAATGACAAGTAGCCTGAGACGAGACTAAAGGGACACGGGTTGATAATAATATACAGCGTGTCGTTACTATCGCGACAATAAATGAACACGCATATAGGGGATAACTTTTTAAAGTTGTATTAAACATTTAAATTCTTTAAACATCAATATTTACAGAGTTATTAAATTTTCCAAAACAAAGAATTTTAGAACATCCTTACCTATAAAAGCGTAACGTAAAGTTCATTTGTAAAGGTCACAAAGCATATGAATGGTTTGAAAGAATTTAAAAGAGACAAAACATACTGTTAGAAGGAGAGGCTTGTAATACGACGCTGTGACGCGAGTTGTATAGGATGTTACAAATTTTGTTTCTTTTTTACTTTATTAGTTTGTTTGAAAAATATTTTTTTTTAATTTTAATAATTTATTTTAATATTATTATATATCAATTTATTTTAATTTTACGTTAATATTATTTTATGATTATTGGCAAGTAGCGTTAGACGTGTGTTCATTTATTGTCGCGATGGTAACGACAAGCTGTATAATCAACCCAAATGAAAACTCCTAAAATAGCCGTACACAAAATAAAATTACATCTTCCACATTAAAAATGTTCATAAATAACAAAAAAATATTTATTCAGTCATTCATTCATTTATTCATTCATAACATTCAGCGCTTCTAATCCATCTAATCAAAACAGAATCCACATTCAGTGGTTACCAATGAAAGACAAACTACTCATTAATACGATTCAAATGTATCCAAACGCGATGAGGCTCTGTCGTTTCATTTCGAAGTTCCTTTGGCCTTCTTCTAGCTCCATCATCAGATCAGCACCATGTCACAAAAATATTGGATTGTCGCGATTTACACATGTATACAAAATTGTAGCTCAACCAGTAACCGGGAAGTAGATCAAATTTAATTTGCAAGATTTGATTTGATGATTTAACATTACAATTTTTTTTTGATAAACATTGCCCTCACTTTAGGATAACATTATCCTGTATTATAAGGACGTTTTACAAACATAAATTGCACGAGGACAAACATCCAGATGCGAAACAACTATCTGTGGACAGCACACATAGTTGTCTCGTGTGGGAATCGAACCCACGACCCCCGACGCCGAAGCCAAAATCTTGGCCAACTGCGCCACGGAGTCATCAACATATTGTAAAAATGTTCATAAACTTAAAACTACTTGGCAAAACTATGGTAAATTTTTATGGGACCAAATGGCAACTATTCTGCATCAAACTAAAGAAGAATCACGGAAATCGGATGCTCCAAATAGCATTTTTTTATTATATTAGAAAGTGGCAAGCGAGCTGGCGCAACCGCCTGCCCATGGACATTTGCAACGCCCGTAGGGTTGCAGATGCGTTGCAACCTCTTAATAATGTGGGCTACCTCGCTCACCAAATGAAACGCAAAAGTTCAACACTTCTACTTTACGTATTCTACTTCTATGAGGTCGTGGTACTAAACCAGATGGCAGACCAGCTTATTCGTGCAACAGGGAACACTGTTGCGTGGCATGGAGGAATGACTTACTTGTGACGCTAAGTGCTTAACAGTCTGAAGTAGTTAAGTCTCATTTGGAACGTTCTGGCTGTAGACCTTTACAAGCCGATGCATCTAAAACTAGTTGGTAGAACTAGTTTTAGATGCATCGGCTTGTAAAGGTAACGCTAAAAGAAACGCTGTTTTCGAAATAGTGTGTATGCCTAATGGAACATCGATCCGGGATAGATGTGCACACACGCACAAACACAACTAGTCTAATCTGCCTTAGGAGTCTGGCAGGTGCAAGTGCGGTCATCGGGGATATAACCCAGGCTTTGTCTCAAGGGGCGACCGGTGCCCCAGGAAATGTGGCCCATATATCGGCTCGCACAGGATATGATCTAGAACTCCCTAAATACAAAAATGAATAAATCATCCGATGTTGACACTTAAAATTGAGTAATGTACTGATTCAGTATTATAAGTAAACTTATAGGACGATGGTAACCCTGTTTGTATTAATTGCGTCTGCCTTTGCTATGTAAACAAATTATGTCCTAAACAACGACTATACAAAGAACAACGTTGGTCTCGCCTCCTCCTCTCGCCCCTCTGTGTGCGAGCGAGATCGGCGGCAGCAATATTTCTCGTGGAAGTGCGTGCCAGTCAGGAGGACGATTTGTATCGGGAACGAAAGCATATAGATGATCCTGGATTTGGATCCGACCGGATTCCCGCCTTGACGTGGCGGAGGAGCTTAGTAGCCGTGGCTTGGTAACCCACGGCGAAGCCCGAGAGGACAGCTCCGAGTGGGTTTATTGAGCCTACAATTTCTAATCTGACTGAACCATCTGTAGTGTTTGAACCAGTTGCCAGTTCATCCACAATTTACCCTCTAAGAGAACATAATGCAAGTATCTCCAACACGTTCATAAATAATAGGCTGTGGAAAAAGTTTCGTCGCATTTTATATGAAAATTCAAAACATTTTTTAATAAAGTTTTTTTACATTTAACTAAAGTAGGTAGGTGCCATTTTGTTCGATAACTTTCTGCCATCTTGTAGGTAGGGACATGATCCCATTGCTATAGAAATTCTGGGGCTTCTGATAAAAAAACCGCGACAAGTGGTTTTGGCAGTCCTCTCGTGATGTTAACCTGACACTGCCTTAAGAATTCTGAAGAGACCGAAACAAGTGGAAATCTGAAAGGTCAGGACTATATGGCGGATGCATTAAGATCTCCCAGCCTATTTCTCTTAATTTTTGCTGAATGGCTAAAGTTGTGCAAGGTCCAGCGTTATCATGATGAAAAACCACACCCCTTCTGTTGATTAATTCCGGCCGCTTTCTCTCATTTTCTTGCTTTAATCGCATCAGTTGTTTGCAGTAGAGTTCAGAATCGATGGTCCTGCCTGGCGGTAACAGCTCATAATGAATAATGCCCTTCCAATCCGGGTATTCCGGATTGGAAGGGCATAACCCGGGTTTCGCCAGAGTCTGTGGAGTCTGACTAGCCTTTGACCACGACCTTTTTCGCACGTTCTTGTCGTACGTGATCCATTTTTCATCACCAGTTATCATGTTTTTCAAAAATGGTTTGGTTTCATTACGTCGTAATAAACAATCACAAATGAGTATACGTTTCATTACTGAAAGAAATTCAGTGAGCTCATGAGGCACCCAAATATTGAGCTTTTTTGTGTTGGGTACACAAGTTAGATACTTACACAAGTTAGACAAGTTACACAAGTTGGGTACACAAGTTTAGAGAAAGATGCATACAAAGAAAATGTCAAAATTAAAATAACACAATTGTAGCACACACACAACAAGAGCTATATAAATTATGACTTCCTTGAAAATTGCATTTAGTACAAAGACAAAAAATAAAGAAAATAAAAATAAATAACAATAACAAAAAATATAATAAGTTACATAATAAGCAGTGTCTTCCATATTAGCATTAAGAGAAGGTACTGTATATTAAAAAACAGAATGTATTCTGCAGACCCGTATGAATCTGCACTGCAAAGAAAAATGAATATAATTATGCATTAAAGGCCATCAAAACAAGGTATAAAAAATGACAAGTTTCTCAATGTATTTCTTCCACTACAAATAGCTGTGAGATCTATATTGTCTCTGCGCTCAATGAAGAGCTTAACATTGTACTTATTAAAAAACTTTATTTTCAATTGTATTCAAAAGTAGAATCCTTACTAATATTATAATATGATTACAGGCTAAGCTTTTTGGCTACAAGCTTACACTAGGAAAGGTTCAAACTGAATTTTTTATTTTGATTGAAGATGTCTGAAATACTTATTTTCACTGAACTACTACTACTTTACACTGAATAACTTTCTGTACTTTCAAATTTTCTGCATTATGTATTTCAAAAATATTATTTTTAATGTGTGTTTAAGATTTGCTGACGTTTTTGTCATTCATTATTATTATATCCTCTTACTTGTGATTTTTGTACCAAATTTCTGGAAATTAATACAACACAGGTATGAATTAATGTGAATGTATATCTGATATAATACATATATGTTGCATAAATGGATATCTCATATACTGTATTTATTATCATGCTAAATAAAAAAAGTGAAGTACCAATTCATTCGTTTTTTTTTGTTTAATTAGACTGCTGAATAAATATAGCAATTTATGCATAAGTATACTGTGTGTTACAAACATAAAAAATATAGCAATTGCATTACTACCTTTAAAATAACTAGTTTGAAAGTGCCGCCCTAACTTCTACTCATTAGCTTAGGTGGGCTGAACACAGATGGCGCTGATCAGTAAAAAATAATTTCCTTCTAAAATTTGTATGGAGTCTGTGCTATGCTTCTGTGCTAGTGCAATATGCATGCCTGATCGTCGGGTTACGCGTACGTATATTATCTTGTTATATGTATAGTCTTTTGTTGAGTTTTGTTGTGCATTCGCCAATCGCCAGTAGGGATGGGCACGTAAAAATAATATATCGATATTTATCGTATCGAGATTTTTAAAAGTATCTATAGTTATCGAGTCAAAAATATCGATATTACGTCCATTTTTGCTTGATTAATCATATATATTTGCAAACCATTCAAAATTCGTAAAAGAGAATAGACATGAAGATGATGCTTGAATTTCCTTTTAAAGTTAACGATGTGCGAGGAGCATGCAATAAGTTTCTCGTAACTTTAAACACGAAACCAGAGGTACGTTAAAAATTTATCGAAGTTGACACGAATTAATAGTCTAAAATATGTATCGATATATCGCGATAAAGATATCAACGACATGAATCGATAATTTTATGGATAAATATCGATATTTTATACATAAATATATCGATATGTATAAAAATATCAATATCGACCTCGATATATCGATATTTTCTTGTAAAAAAAATATATATCGATCAAAATATATCGGCTAAAACCCAGCCAGATAACAGCTACCGATCGAGCCGAGCTCTTGGGCACCCTCGAATCGGAATGCTAAACGCTTTTTGAGTGACAGCCCAAGCCGAGGTCCTCTCTCGGGGACCCTTGAGCCTAGTCACTCCATGGAGCGTCCGCCAAAGCGCCCTAAGAGCTTGGCGGCCTCCCAAATCGGTAAAACTAATAGCGTGACGGCCCGAGCCGAGGTTCCTTCGGGAGCCCTCGAGCTTAGTCACCATAACGCGTAATAATAATACGCCGAGGTTCATGCTAGGCGCCCCGAGCGCCCGGCCACCTCATGCCCGTCGGATCTGTAAAGGCCCCTAAGGCCCAAGACGGCTCATGCAGCCAAAAAAACTTTTTTTCAGCATCTCTAGTGTCAATGTAGCCGCTAAGTGATGACGAAAGTCGAAAAAAATATCGATATATTGATATTTATAAAAATATCAATATCGGCCTCGATATACCGGAAAAAAATATCGATATATCGGTCAAATTTTCAGTTTTAAAAACAATGTTTTGTTAATAATGTGTAAACATAAAGCTCAGTGTAATTCAATAATAAGTTATAGTACGTTTTATACCCAATTCACATTATTTAAATGAATGAGAAATTTTAATAAAACGTTATTTTTATATATTAATTTTAAGTAAATTTCTTTTATTAATTAAAATTTTATAATCTAAATTTCTAGGTATGTTATTTATCAACACCTTCATTAGAAAAAAAAATATTTAGTATAAATCAGTTTTTTTAGCCCTGAATCTAATCAAAAATTAACTAATTAAAATACATGTAACTTTGTAAAAAAAACATAAAGAATTGTTTACAACGAAGGTTAATAATTGGCTGAGACTTGTCTTAAAAGACAGACCTAGATCAACAGAATTTAGTAATAGTTGTTTGATTGACATGAAAATGCTGAACGACTATTTAAAGAAGTTGAGTAAGTGGTTAATTGATAATAGTTTTTTACGACATCAAATTTTTTTTAATGAAAACTCGATATAATATTATGTGACATTTAATTATTGAGAATTTGATTATAATTAAATTTTTATTAACTTTATTTACATATTAAATTAAAGTAACTTTAGTTTATGCCATTTATAAATTAACATAATAATTAGTTCAATATTAATGATTTGAAACACCTCTATACCATGTTGTAACTAAGGTACTAGTGGATAGTATAAAGTACGGAGCATCAAATTGTACTATAAATACCATAATTAAAGTACAAAATGCAACTCTGTATCCGCGACAATACTAGGCTGGCTAGACCACAATTTTTTCCGTTCATTTTTATCTTCTACGGCTTTGAACCAGTTTGAATAAAAATATCGTTTTTGATACGATTTCGATATTCAATCTTTTATATGGATATATCGGATCAAAATATATCGGCCAAAAATATCGATATATTAAAAAAATCGATATGTTTTCGGCATCCCTATCGCCACTTTCCGTCCGTTAAGAGGTTTCGGCAATTTCAGTTTTTTTTGTTTTATTTACGTTCAATTAACTTAATTTGTGAAAGTCCCGAAAACTAGATAAATGTCGTTTGATATCGTATTGTTTCTTGTTTTCTGAAAACAATTCAATATGAACTTCGTCCACTTATTTTTAAGTGCATTAATGTATATGAAAACCTACGATGCATCCGAACAATGCGCAGATGAAACTAATTGTAAACAAAATAAAAATAGATATAGTAAAGGTGAGTGTTAGTTGTTTTCAACAATGTAATAAAATAAAGGTCTAATAATGGGTAATAGCTAAACATAGACATTCATTATGATACTAGTTGCCTAAAGCATTGACTAAAAGTGGCTGTTGTAGTGCAGGGTCAAATCCTGACTGCAGCGAATTTTTTTCGATAATTTTCTGTTAAAACCAAATTTAGTTTTTAACTTTAATGTAAAGCACTAAAATAAAACAATCTTGAGAAGTCTATTATGTTAATAATATTTTTACTTCAGACCAGGCTAACCCATTGCTGAAATTAAATAACACCATTTCACAATTAGACCAGTGTCCGGGCGCTCGCCTTTAATATACTTGAGCAATCTGAGTTTGATCCCCTGTGCCGGCACCAATGAAGTTTTTAACTTTAAGTGCGGACTTATCACATGCTCTGCGGTGAAGGAAAAAATCGTGAGGAAACCTGCATATTTTCGAAATAATAACAAAAAAAAATATTTCGAACATATGTGAAATCCGCCAATCCGCAGTGGGGCTGCATGGTGGACTGTGCCCTGATACCCTCTGTATAGAGGAAGCCTTTGCCCAGCAGTGGGACATGTACAGGCTGTTACTGTACTTTATCACAATATTGCCTCTGTGGTCCTGATCACATGTGTAATTGTTTTTTTAGAACTGAACACTATAGATAATCAGATATTTTTTCTTAGTTATTTGAAATTTTTCTGAAATAAATTGTAATAATTTATTTATGTAACTTGATATTATAATACTTTATTTAATGTACTAAAGATTTTATATCCCATACTCAGATTAATCTGTAGACAAGTTTTTGGGCACTTGGTCTTCGGTCTTTCTATGAAATAAAAAACAACTTTTGGCCATCCTGAGTTTGACAGGCATGATTTCTACTATGCATTATCTCTAATAAATCTTACTAAGATTTATTAGAGATAATAATAGATTATTCTAGAAATTTTTAGTTTTGTACAATTGAGAGTATAAAAATAATAAGACTAAGTAGCCAAAGTAACAAGACAACAATAAAAGGACAACAATAAAGGATTATCTTGGAATGTAAAATCACTTCATATTCAAAGTAAATTTCACCCAATTTATCCTAGAACTTCTTAATTTTATTTAAACATTTTGAAAACTTAATTGTTAGTTAATTGATAATAGAGTTGAATATTTTTAAACATAGGTTATTTCCATTTCAGAAATAAATGAATTGACTGCAAAGATAAATGCTCAATTAAAAATCTCAAACGAAAACTATAAACCATGCTATACCACAAATTGCAGTTGTCATAAATCTGTTATTGATGAAGATTTGTCAGTTTTCAAAAATGGAATTTTAAAGGAGCAATTTGATATAGCTGCATTGAAGGGTACAAAATATCAGGTAAGATTATTGGTAACTGATGTAAACTTCTTACTTGAAACTAGCAGCCATAAGCTGATGTCATTGTCAATCTGTTTTCTTAGTGTCTTTGTCAATGTATCTAATGTAACCAAAACTAATTTTACCGTTAATTTGAGCTTATTAAAACTTTATATTCATTAAAGGTTTTCTCTTATTTCAATTTAATAAGCTAAAAAAAGCAACATGGATAAATATCTTCGCCTTGAAGGGTTTGATATTGACCCGTCAGATAACTCTGGTACGAGAGCTTGGATACACTGGCGTAAAATTTTCGAAAGCTTCATATCTGTGCAGAAACCGACCACTCCAGAAACATGCACAGTTGTTTCCTCCGCCAGAAAAATGGGACAACATAAAGTTTCAACTTTTGGTAAATCATATATCACCAAATATCTACACATATATAAGTGAAGCCACGAACTACGAAGAAGCGATCACAATACTGGAAAAACTGTATGTAAAACCAAAAAATCCATTTTTTTCTATCCACATATTAGCAACAAGGAAACAACGACCAGAAGAAAGTATCGACATATATTTACAAGCTTTGAAACTACTTTCTAAAGATTACAACCTAGCACTCTCTCTATAAACTGCAGAGATCAACTCTCAAAGCTTCAATACTGTCTTTAAATGCTGTTGCCATAATGTTCACCTACAAATTCTGTGGTAGTAGGTACTGAAGATCTTTCCGCTTGAATTCCACAGCAGCGTCACCTTCTTCATTAATTAAAGCTACAGTACCCGCTTATATTCGAGGAATAAGCGCAGAAGCACTTCTAGACACCGGCAGCTCCATCAATTATAAATGACAATTTTGCAAGACTATGCGGGTTAAAAAGAAAATCCTGCAATCAGACTATTTCTATGGCCTCTCTTAATCATACATCTTGCCAATTCTATTAAGTCTAGAAGACACAGCAAAGAGGATAGTGAATTTATTAAAGACGAGATTAGAAACCTTATAGCAGAGGGCGTGATTGAAGAAAGTAAATCACCGTGGAGGGCCCAAGTACTAATAACAAAAAGCGAAACTCATAGAAAACGCCTTGTGATTGATTACTCTCAGAAAATTGATCGTTACACAGAACTCCACGCGTACCCTATACCAAACATTGAGGACTTAGTTTCGAAAGTGGCAAAGAATACATTTTTCTGAAAAGCGCGTACCATCAAGTACCTATACTACCTGAAGAAAGGAAATATAACGCTTTTGAAGCGCTGGGAAATTTGTACCAGTTCAGGAGTATTCCTTTTGGAGTAAAAAATGGTATTTCGAGCTTCCAACGAACAACCGAATGGATTATAAAAAAAGAGAAACTTCAAAACACTAATGCGTATCTTGATGATATAACTATTTCTGGCCGTACTCTTGAAGAACACGATCATAACCTATAAAGTTTTATGAATGCCGCAAAGCAATACGGTTTAACACTGAATATACAAAAATGCAAATTTTATCAAGAGTCAATTAATATTCTAGGTTATAATATTCAAAACCACATAATTAAACCTGACAGTAAGCGACCCAAGCCACTGATTAATTTACCTCCACCAAGCGATTTAGCGACCTTAAGAAGGACACGCGGCATGTTCGCACATTATTCTAAGTGGATTCTAAACTTTTCTGAACGGATCCACTCACTTCCTAATACGACAACTTTTCCGCTCACAAGCGAGCAAATTAAATTTTTCGAAGGCCTGAAAAATGATATTGCAAAATCTTACATGCGTCTATACATGCAATTGATGTAAATATACCTTTTATAGTCGAAACTGACGCATCCGATCTTTCCATTGCAGCAGTACTTATGCAAAATTCTAGACCAGCGGTTGTAGCGTTTTTCTCAAGAACTTTTAATTCAAGCGAACAAAACCATTCCGACATTGAAAAAGAAGCGTACGCCATTGTGGAATCATTGAAGAAATGGAGACATTTCCTTATTGGTAGATACTTTAAGTTGGTAACTGACCAACGCTCGGTTTCTTTTATGTTTAATATGAAACATTCAAGTCAGGTAAAGAATGAAAAAATTCAAAGATGGCGACTGGAACTTGCTGCTCTCAAATACGATATTTTATAAAGACCGAGGAAAGAGAACTATGTTGCTGATGAACTATCCCGAGTTTGTGCCACTGTAGAAACTGCAAAACTTTTCTCGCTGCATGAGGCTCTTTGTCATCCAGGGGTAACGAGAATGTTTCACTGGGTTCGCTCTAAAACCTTCCCTATTCCATTGAAAAAGTCAGAACAATGACAAAATCTTGTCGAACCTGCTCTGAAGTAAAACCTAAATTCTTCCGAAATACGTTTAATGACCAGAGGAAACTTGTTAAAGCGACGTCTGCTTTTGAACCCTGTAACATAGATCAGCATTTTAAAGGATCAGTTCCAACAAACAATAATAACAAATTCATACTTACCGTGATTGACGAATTTTCACGCTTCCCGTTTGCTTTCCCATGCTCAGATTTAAGCTCGAAAACAGTGATTAAAAACTTGTTTATGATATTCGGCATGCCTTCTTACGTTCATTCAGATTTCGGAACAGCATTACTATCTGCCGGACAGGACTTTTTACATGTTCGTGGTATTGCCACTATTAGAACTACAGCTTATAACCCTCAAGGTAGCGGTCAAGTAGAAAAATTGAATTCTACTCTTTGGAGAACGATTCTTTTGGCGCTGAAGACGAAGAATCTTTCGGTAGAAAATTGGGAGCAAGTATTACAAGTCTTATATTCAATTCGATCATTACTTTGTACAGGCATAAATTGCACTTCACACGAAAGAATGTTTAGACACCCACGAAGATCCACTAACTGAATTGATACATAGCAATCCTGACTTTTCATACATTCGGTTCCCAGATGGCCGAGAAACAACGGTGTCGAATCGTCATCTAGCACCATTGGGTTCAGAAGGAGTAGATCTGCGAATAGATAATGAACACACTACTGATTATCACAACGTCGCAGAACCAGTTCCGGAAATAGAAGACCAAAACTTGGAGATTCCTTCATCTAATGAGACAGGACCTGTGGTACTTGATAATAGCAGAGAGCTAGAGACTGAGTTACCATCATCACCACCGCCGCAGCCAACACTTCGTGGATCTGGCCGCGTCCGCAAAATATCAAAATTTTTAAAATTTAATTATGATTTAAAATAGTTAACGAGAATGATGTAAACTCCTTACCTGAAACTAGCAGCCATAAGCTGATGTCATCTGTTTTGTTAGTGTCTTTGTCTGTATCTAATGTAATCAAAACTAATTTTACTGTTAATTTTAGCTTATTAAAACCTTATATTCATTAAAGGTTTTCTCTTTTTTCAATTATATACTAAATTAATTTTATGGATAAGTTCAAAATTAAAATGTAGTGTGTAAAATTTCAGAAATAGTTATTTATTTAACCAGCTTTTTTTTTATTAGTTTATTTCCTAACATACTTGTGAAAATTTTATGCTTTCTTACAAAATCCTTTTTTTTTTAGGTTATGTCTTAAAGATAATGTGTAATATATTTTATAATAATCTTATTTTTCGAAAACTAAGAAATTCTTTTAAAATTAAACAATATTGCAGATTATTGATGGCAGTGTATATAGACAAAGGGACTGTCACTTCCCATCCAGGTGTGCCGGAATAGAACATTATTTAGTTGCATTGGCACCTAAATTACCAGACATGGAACTCATTATAAATACCAGAGACTGGCCACAAATAAACAAAGCATGGGGCCATAAGAAAGCACCAGTATTTTCTTTCAGTAAGGTTAACACATGTTTTTAATTAACAACATAAAAAGCCATCGAAATACAATTTTAGACTTTTTTTTTTTTTTTATGCGAAAAGTTGTCAAACGAGCAGACGGTTCACCTGATGTTAAGTGAATACCGCCGCCCATGGACATCTGCCACACCCAAGGGTTACAGATGCGTTGACAACCTTTTGAAAATTGGGCTCCGGCTACCTCACTCACCAGACGAAAAGCGAAAGTATTTGACACACTTCCACTTTACGCTGGTCTTCTGTGAGGTCGTGGTACTTACCCGGACGGGCCTGCCCATTCGTGCAACAGGCGAGGCTGCTGCGTGGCCCTACCACCGTTAAACGTTTTTTACTCTAACAACATAAAACTCCAAACAAATAAGAATTTCGGTTTATTTTTTTAGACTAAAGATTATTACGATGTTATGTATCCTGCATGGAGTTTCTGGGAAGGAGGGCCAGCTATATCCCTGTATCCAACAGGAATTGGTCGTTGGGATAAGCACAGGCAGTCTATATCTGCAGCTGCTGAAAAGTAAGTATTGTATGGGTAGTTGATTCTGTTTTTGATTCAAAATTTGTAGATGAGATGCTGGAAAAAAAATTCAGAAATATTTGAAAACTAAAGATGTCACTTTTGTTATTGAAATTTGACCTTTTTACTTATTTTTAATGTAATAATTTGACATTTTTATTTATTTTTAATTGTAATATAAAACTAAGAATCTACTACACTGGAACAATTTGTTTATATTTGTTAACCCAAAACTTGAGATGGAAATGTGGATATTATTTTAAGCATTTATTTAAAAAGAATTTGTTATAATTAAATGAATCCATTTATTGAGTTCTTCTGAATTGCGTGTTACAGATGGCCATGGGATAGAAAAGAAGCACAAGCATTTTTCAGAGGGTCAAGAACAAGTGAAGAGAGAGATACCCTGATTTTATTATCTCGGTCTAGACCTGACCTTGTTAATGCACAGTATACTAAGAACCAGGCTTGGAAATCAGATGTGGTATGTTTATATTGTTTAAATTTCTATCACACATATGTGCAATAAATAGATCACAGATGGAAATGCATCTGCAACACTACCGGTGTTGCAAATGTCTATGGTTGGCAGTTATCACTTCACTGTATATTGGGACGATACGAATCTGTCATTTGAGAACATGTACAAATATGTTGCACATTCTTAAATTTAGTCAATGATCCCATTCTTTGCTACTAAATTTACTGATATAATACTACTAAAATATAATATTGATTAGCAAACAAAAACCAAACTGTTATTGTAAAATAACACAGAGACAAATATTAGCATGGACAATCTTTGTGAGACTACTAATTCAATCTATCAATAAGAGTAAAAAAGAAATAGTTATTATGTCTCTACTAGGGATGCCGAAAAGATATCGATATATCGATTTTTTTTAAATATATCAATATTTTTGGCCGATATATTATTGATCAATAACAATAAAAAACGATATTTTTATTCAAACTTATTCAAATGCGTAAAGGATAAAATGAACGAAAAAAAATTGTGGTCTATTACTAGAATTGTCGCGGAATCAGAGTTGCATTTTGTATTATTTATTATTTCGAAAATATGCAGGTTTCCTCACGATGTTTTCCTTCACCGCTGAGCACGTGATAATTCAGCACTTAAAATTGACAATTTCATTGGTGCTGGCACCGGGGATCGAACTCAGGTTGCTCGTGTATATTAAATTAAAGGCGAGCGCCCGGACACGGAGCTATCACGGCTCCTTATAATATAATTTATAAATAGCATGCAAAATATTAATGCCATCTTAGCAACAAAAAAATTATTCGACGTCGTCAAAATTATTATCATTTAACCACATACGTAACTTCTTTAAATTATCGTTCAGCATTTTCATGTCAATCAAAAAATTGTGTTGATCAAGACCTGTCTTTTAGGACAAGTCGCAGCGGGTTTCTTTTTAACCCATTATTAACTTCGTTTTAAACAATTTTCTTTATGTTTTTTTTACAAAGTTACATGTTTTTTAATTAGTTATTTTTTTATTCGATTCAAGGCTAAGAAACTGATTTATCTTACTAAATAAGCTACTTGTTTTTTTCTAATGAAGGACTTGATAAATAACATAACGAGAAATTTAGATTAATACAAGAAATTTGATTAAAATTAATAAAAAAATAATGTTTTATTAAAATTTAAATAATGTGAATTTGGTCCTAAAATTACTATTACTTATTATTGAATCAGACTGAACTAAATAAATTTTTTTTTAAAACTGAAAGTATGACCGATATATTTTTTTCGATATAGCGAGGCCGATATTGATATTTTTATAAATATCGATATATCGATATTTTTTCAACTTTCGGCATTCCTAGTCTCTACTGTGTAGTTGGGCATATTTTTCAATTTCTTATTTTTTAGTGCTGGTTCTTGATAATTTTTTTTAAAATTTGATAATGCTCATGTTTACTGTAACTGTATTAAATACTTTTGTTTCTTGTGTCTGATAAAAGGCATGTAATTTATAATTTTGATATAAAATTAAATGGCAATTTTATTTACAGGATACACTTTATGCACCTCCAGCACCAGAAGTCTCATTTGAGGATCATTGCAAATATAAATATCTTTTCAACTATAGAGGTGTGGCAGCTAGTTTTCGATTTAAACATTTGTTTCTGTGTAAATCGCTTGTCTTTCATGTTGGAGAAGATTGGCAAGAATTTTTTTATCCATCATTAAAGCCCTGGATACATTACATTCCAATTAGCCCAAAAGCTAGTCAAAATGACATTATTAACTACATAGAGTACTTTAGACAAAATGATTCTTTGGCTAAAGAAATTGCCGAAAGAGGATTTCAACACATATGGGATAACTTGACTGTAAAAGATGTGAAATGTTATTGGAAGAAATTGTTAAAAAGCTATGCAAAACTTCTCAAATATGGGGTTAAGAAAGATGATGAACTCATTAAAGTATGATTACAAATGTGAATGTTATAAATATAGTAATTGTTGCAAATTTGTAACACTTATATTTCAGTATGTTTGGGTAGGCATATTATGGTAAGAGGTCATAAGGCATAAATTATCCAAAAATATCAAAAAAAATAAAATTTAAAATTTTTAAATAAGATTTATATAAAATAAAAATATAAGGTAGGTTCCAATATATTTATTGAATAAAAACAATTGTTAAGTTGACATATATTTATTTAAAGCTCTAATAACAAACATTCTAATATGATAAGTATAGAAGGTGAAATTACTAAGCGTTGTTGAAAACTAAGAAAAGCTAAGAGAAGAGCTTAGTTTAATAAAGATTAAAATTTCGAGATTTATACCTAATTCATTTCACAATGTCAAAATGATTAGAAAACAACACAGATTATTCTTATTATGAAATATTTTTTAATATTGCAAAAAAAAATGTTTAGCTGAAATCCCTGTCAGGGAAGATGGCAGGAGCGGTTAGGGTCCATATATACAGTCCAATACAGACCCATGATGAAGTCATCTTGATCCACATTGAAGCAACATTTTCTTTCGACAGCTGGGAGCTTGGACTGTAATTATTTTGAAATTTTGATCCTCACAACTTGATAACAGCTAATAATATTACTTTAAATTAATTGTTTTATAAAACCTCACACAAATTTTACAATGAAATTGAAAATTGTGATTTATTATATTTTATGTGCTGTTTTAGTAGATAATTGCTAATGATGGAGAAGTATATTTTCTAGTTATCAACGCAATTGTGAACTCTTGTAATAAGTATACCTAAATAGGGCTGTAGATAAAGAAATCTGAACTTTGAATTGGAAGGAGTTATCCAACAGTAGGCTATACCAAGGCAGGTGTTCCTGACGTCACGTTTCCCTCACGTCTATCATAAATAACCACCCCGGTTATGCATAAATCACGGACTTTAACAATTCGTGCATAGTTGTCATAGTGCAATATACATGTCCATAAGTTACGGGTATTATTTATTCTGCTTCGCATCTGTATATAGTTTTTCTACATTTCTAATTAAAAGTAAAACCAATAATAAATGCTTGAAATTTAAAAAATCGATGTAAATCTTTAGGTGCAAGTTTATTCAATAAAAATAAGTAAGTCGTGGTACTTACTTGTACCAATTGGTTAGCGTCATCATGATGTAGAGGGTGGCCAAAGCGAAGACAACGTGGAAGAACGTCCATGAGTAGGCCACGCCGTCTCCCTCGTTGTCAAATACCTTCGTCTCTTCGCCGCGGCCAGCCTCGCCGCCGTCACCCTCTATGGAATCATAACCTGCGCTCAGTGAGCGTCACAAATACGCGCCTATTAGATTTACTCCAATCAAGCATCATTATCTATTATGATAAACTACGTCTAGTCACAAATAAAGCATACAAATTTATTTTTCAAATTTACCGCGATTATGTTGCTTAAGCATTTTGAATAATAAGCGTGAACCATGAGCTTCTTTCCTGTGGAAAGTGCATATCATACCAGTGGCGGACTAAGGCCTTCAGAGGCCCGGGGCGGTAAAGTTGAATGTGGCCCCTAGTTTAAGGAATTCATCTAATTAAACAAGCTTTTTATTCATTTCACATTTGTCTGTATAAGTGTTTATGTTTATTTAGTTAAAATCTTGTAAGTGAAATTCAAATTGGACTTAAATAAATATACACAGAATACAGAGATATAAAAAGTATCTCTCGGTTACCTAATTTTATATTTTTCAGTTGAAACTACTCAATATTGACCAGCGATTTAATATTAATACTAAAAAAATATACATTTTTCCTAATTATCCAGTATGATATTTCTAATATGATATATTTTCGATATGTTTCTACTGTATGCAAAATAATGGCCAGAAATTGAACTTTATTTAATTTATAACAATATTTTTCTCTAACTGCGCTAATCGAACGAACCAAATTAACAATTTCATTTTGAATCGTCCAGATATAGAATAATGGGCTGTTAAATGTAGATTTCATGATGTGATGATGCTAAAGTAATTTTAATATTACATCCGGCCATTACTGGGCAAACATGGCCAAAAGTCATGTATGACTTTATTGTTCATGTAGGAGAATAAGTCCGTAAATGATGATTGTATAAGTTATCATTTATATTTCCCGGAACGTATGACTTAAGAATTTAAGTTATTGTGGAATTTTTGCTTTCATCCGATCGGGGGCTACCGAGGCCTTGGGCTCGGGGGCTCCGTATCATTGATACGGCTGACACACGTTTTTATCTTAAAGTAATAATTTTTTGGGACCTCCTAAGTCCAACCTCTTAGATTTTTTCAAGGGAACATGAAGGCGTTTGGGCGTTCCCCGAGACCTGAGAACCGGGGCGGACTGCCCCTTCCGCCCCCCGGTTATTCCGCCACTGTATCATACTTAACGAATTGAACGCGAGAGAGAGTAGATCGATGATAGGTGACCGAGTGAAATGAGTACATCGGAGAAGAGCCGACGAATCACGTATATGTTATCGACCGAATCAAGCGGTTAAACTGAGACTATAGATAAACGCTGTACACCAATGCAATAACGATTATTTTAGCTTAACAACGCAAAAAGGCGTGACTGATATCTATGTAGTAAGTACCCATGTGTTCGAGAAACAAGTCAAACTTTAGAGAATGTAAGATAATTAAAGTATTCATGGTCACGAGACCGAAAAGGATTCGAAACGTCAGGAATTACAAAATCAAAATAAAAACGCGATAAAATATATAATAATTTTCGCGTCAAATCAAGTAGTCATTATTTTTAAATACTGATTACACAATGACATTTCTTATAGTACTAACTACTACCGATTCGAAGACCAAATAGAGCTAATGGAACTATTAGAATGAATTAGTTCATAGTCTGAAATTAACTAGTTTAGAGCGCTATTCTAAATGACCGAGCAAGCACAAGACTACAAAACACTGCACGCCAATCCCAATACGTAATATTAAGTAGAGCAATATCAAGATATGTTTCTTGTTATTTCTAAGATAATTTTAAGGTAATTAGCGCAAATCATGTAAAATGAGTGAATTTTATATGAGCGAAGATTAGAATTTTACACGAAAAAGTAAAATCCATAAATATTTTATTCATGAGAAACAGTGTATAAGAATGTCCTATGTTGGCTAGCTAGTATAAAATCTAAATTTAAAATAGACTCCGAAAAAGTGTGCGTAATCTGAGTTAATTCCTCAGATAACGCACACTTTTTCGTTAAAAGTCAAAAGGAGTAAAAAAGTTAAAATCATAACTTTACTATCTAATGCTGGTCCTGGTATAGCGATATTCCGTCACCATACCAGCCCTACGTCAGCATTGAACGAAGCCAACATGCGGGTGGTAAACCTTATCGCATTGCAAAAGCCTCTTTACTATGACATTATCAGTTTTGAAATAATGAAGATGTAATCAAAGCAATCAAAATAAAATATCTGTAGCTCATTAAGTGTAATAATGCTTATGAAAATAATTTAATAAAACAATACAAGTATTAAATCCATACATACGTTATTAATAGCGAAGTTGTAAACGTAGTTAGATTTCAAATAAAGAAAATTCGAGTTGCAATTATTACCTTCATTAGCAATGAGCCCTCCTTCCCCTTATGCCGTGTTGTCGCCGCGCGTTACGTCCGCAAGGAATGCACAACACATTAATAATTCGTATGAGGAGGTGTAAAACTTATATGCGTCACAAAAGTTCAAAACCTAGCACAGTATACTATACAGGGTGGCTTTTCTAAAGATGCCCAAATTCACACAGGAGGTTCAGACTCGATAGTATAATCGTTAAAAACTTTTTTTCAAGAAAATTGCCATCCATTTCCTAAAAAACGGAACTTGTTGACAATGCGGTAGTCATTCATAAATGCGTCGTATACTTTTGAAACGAACTTGTGTGCGTGTTAGTTATGAATGATTGTGCGTAAAATAAATGAGTTGCCCATAAATCACGCACTTTTTGAGATAAGTTCAAATAAATGTGGTTTTGTTGATTTTAAATATTTATCATTTTTTTATATAACATTATTTATGTCTAGATTGTAATAAAAAAATTGATACACTTAAGAAAGCCTCCCTGTATGTACTGATAACGTAATAAATTATGATTTATATTTGTTAGAGGGTCGGGCCTAATTTAATGGCGGCTGCGAAAGGCGATATTCAATAGCAAGCAAATACATCATCGGAGTACATCCAGCCTTTGACAGCCTTCGTCGTATCTCGTTTCCTCGTATGCACGATGTAGTTGTATGCTACACATTTCTGCACACACGCATCTACCACATACATTCATATCGCAAGTTATTCGGAAATTTCTTAGAATTATTTTTTTTTTCTTCATAATTCAAGTCAATCGCCAATGCAAACTCTTCATAACCAGACAAGTCTAGACTATAAGAAAGAATATACATTCAATACAAAAAAAAAACAACTTATCAGTAAATTCATGTCAAGAGAAAAACAAAATATTATTTTAGCTAAATATTATTATTTTTATTTTTTTGGCCAAATATAGTGTGGAATTTTACATTATTTACTTATTTATAGAGCCGTGATAGCTCAGTGTCCGGGCGATCGCCTTAACTTCAATTTACTGAGTTCGATCCCCGGTGCCAGAACCAATGAAATTGTTAATTTTAAATGGTGAAGATTTTAAGTGGTAAAGGAAACTTTCGAAGGAAACCTGCATATTTTTGAAGTAATAGCAAAAGGAATGTTTTGAATATATTATGTGAAGTCCGCAAATCCGCAGTGGTATCGCGTGGTGGACTATGCCCTTATACCCTCTCTACAGAGGAGGCCTTTGCCCAGCAGTGAGAAATTTATACTCTTTAATTTTTTTACACATTTACACGCCCTACAGTTGACGGGTTCGCAGCCGCCATTAAGCTTCGAGGCATTTAAGTTTTTAACAACCTCTTAAAAAGAACAACATTAACAAAACAATATAGAACGTAATTTTCTTTTAAATTAAGTCGTGCTTTCCTTGTGCACTGTTAGATCAAGGTGTTAAGATTGTTTAAATTATATAAGATATTAAAAGAAGTTATATGGGTAATTTTATATTTAATTTGAATGATGGAATTTTCGGGAAAGAAGTGACAATTCTAAAATTTTGTAATTATCTATGTTGTTATTTTTAGTCTGATCATCCCAAAAAAATGTTATTTTACAAATAAAATGGTTACCATGGCCAATAACAACTTTTTGATATCTAACTATAATTCCAAGTTATAGAATTAAACTGTTATCAATTGCATTTAATGACATTTTTCAAAAAGAAATAGACACAAAAGGGATTTTTTTTATACAAGGATAAATTCCAGTCATCATTTCAAGAGCCTGAAAATCAAAGAGCTAACGAATGGGAAAATTCATTTTAACCTACAATGCTGGATATTTAATTATTTTGAAAGGTGTGGAGGTTTAATAAACCTATAGTACCAATTTAATTTTCCAGTCAAACATTATAGGGTTAATTGTATCAAAAAGGGGATTTATAGGTTATTTTTTATTTACCTGCATTGCCATCCTTTGCTAGTATATGTTCAGACATAGTGATTTTAGAAGAGGAAGATGCAGTGCGGACGCACGAATAAAGAACGCTGCAAACCCATATGACTAGCCCAATGATCAACTGCTTGTCGAATGAGGCCTGTGGAAACAAAATAATTTTGACACAAATTTAAAATAATATTTATTTAAAATATTTTTAATGCAAAAAATATATTTATAAAATATTTTTCCTTAGTGTATTGTTGTAATACAGGTAATAGGTTGTGTGTGATTTACAGAAAAAATATGTAAATTATTAATTATATATTTAAATTTGATAGTAAGCCAGTCAGTGCGTCTGATGCTGCCTTTAGATTTTGCTATTAAATATTTCATAAAGTAAAAAAAAAGTGAGGTCGATTAAGCAAAGATAGTGATTTAATTTTTAAAGGTTTTAAAATCTGATGTCACTTTACTACATCAGTACCAATGATATTTAATTGCAATTTTGAATATGTGCTTTGATCATAACTTCTATGAAAGGCGATGTAATTTGAACTTCATCATCATCATTATCATTTCAGCCTGTTTGTGTCCACTGCTGAACATAGGCCTCCCCCACAGACTGCCATGAAGCACGATCCTGAGCCACCTGCATCCATCGACTTCCCGCACATTTGCACAGGTCGTCACTCCCTCTAGTGGGGGGTCGTCCTACACTGCGATGGCCAGTAAGAGGCTGCCACTCGTAATAATTTGAACTTATTTGAAGCTAAACGTCATGGTAATCCATATGTTCAGCACAGGGATTGTATCATAGTCGATATTAGAGACACTAGTTCATAATGTGTTCAAGGATTCGATTAGAAAATATTTCAAAAGAATGTGTGTAATACAGTAATGTCGAGTTGTAACATGTAGTATATACTGTCATCACTAAAATAATTTTTATATACGAAAATTTAGCTTATGTAGTGTTTATTTAGGTATGATAATGTTTTTTTATACATTTGAAAAGAAAAAAAGAAGATAAAATAGATTAAAGATGATAGATAATTATTATGAACAAAAATAATGTTTTTGTAAGAGAGTAAAGGTATGGTTTACAAATTAATATTTTAAAGTAAGAATAAAGACTGATTTTGGAAAGGTAATCAAATACATACCCAATAAATTTCTTCCTTTGATTCCTGGTTATGCAATTGTAAAATTATTTTTATAGTGCAATATAATATTAAATGGAATAAATAAATTACTTAGTAAAAATATTAAATATAATAGAAATATTTGTCCATGTTATTGAAGCATGAGTTTTTTGGTGTATTTCAATAATTTGGGCATACCTGGTTATTGTCAGAAATACTGGCGTTACACTCGCTCGGAGAATTGGAGAGCGCGGACCAAGTAAGGTACATGACATAGAGTGACACCACTGAGGACTGTAGAAGTCCAGAACGAGGCTGATATTCTTGCACTGCTGGCAATATGGAAATGGCACTTGCGATAACCACAAGTATCAAATTGAGAGATATGAAGAACTTCGAGAGATCGCAACCACTAGGCTGCAAAGAAAACATTTTATAAAAACAATGGCCATCCTTCAAAAAAACAAAACGAAACCTTTTACGAAATGCTTATAATAAAGTTAATACTTTGTATTTCATGGTTTAAAGGCTTTCATGTCTTTATCTGTATTCAAATAAATGGAGCTAGCGCTGTGGATATTTATTAATATATATTAATATATACAGCGTGTCGTTACCATCGCGACAATGAATGAACACACGTCTAACGCTATTTGCCAATAATCATAAAAAAAATATTAACGTTAAACAAAATCCATAATTAAAAAAAATATTGTTCAAACTAATTAAGTAAAAAAGAAACAAAGTTTGTAACATCCTATACAACTCGCGCCACAGCGTCGCATTACAAGGCTCTCCTTCTAACAGTATGTTTTGTCTCTTTTAAATTCATTCAACCCATCCACATGCTTTGTGACCTTTACAAATGTTTAATACAACAGCTTTTCAACGTACAACTTTTTAAAGTTGTATTAAACATTTAAATTCTTTAAACATCAATATTTACATAGTTATTAAATTTTCCAAAACAAAGAATTTTAGAACACCGTTACCTATAAAAGCATAACGTAAAGTTCATTTGTAAAAGTCACAAAGCATATGAATGGGCGGAATGAATTTAAAAGAGACAAAACATACTGTTAGAAGGAGAGGCTTGTAAAGCGACGCTGTGGCGCGAGTTGTACGGTTGCGTACGAAACAAAATGTTACAAATTTTGTTTCTTTTTTACTTAATTAGTTTGTTTGAAAATATATTTTTTTAATTATGGATTTTGTTTAACGTTATAATTTTTTTATTATTATTGGCAAGTAGCGTCAGACGTGTGTTCATTTATTGTCGCGATGGTAATGATACGCCGTATATATTAATAAACAAGCTTGTTGCTGTGCACCTGGCATAAATATTAAACTCATCAGCGCTCAGATTGGATTTCCTAGATTTAGATCCCATCTTATGTCTTTGCTGCTAGATGAACAATATTAATAATAAATAACAAAGAAAAAAGCTTATACGAAATATGTAGGTTGAACTATGGAACTTACCTTAGTATAATAAACATAAAGCAGTACAATGCCTGTTAATGTTAGCGCAAAACATGTCAACATAGACAGAAGAAGAACTGCATACCAACCACGGGATTGGGATTCTTCATAATTGGCTAAAAAAAGGCTTTAATGTAATAGGAATAAAATTCAACATAATATTACAAATAAATAATAATTTAATCTTAACCATTTTAATTTTATTAATGATAATTATTACATTTAGTTATTTATTTTTATATAAACTTTTAACTAATGGTTTGTTGTATTGGTTTGTACATATTTGTTTAGTTTTTGACAAGATTGTCTTTCAAAGTACCCTGTATGTTTACCTTTGAAAGACATGCATAAACTTTTCATGAATTTGATTATCAACACAGCGAAACATTTAAAAACTACTGTTTACTCTCACCTAATCAATTAGTTTTAAGCATTTACAGAATCCCTAGAGAAGATGAATTGGTCATAGGATTAATTTCAGTACAGTTAGCACATTATAATAAAATGTATATAAATATTTCATATAATGTGTATAAAAAATAATACTTACAGACCCACTTCTCTGCCCAAGAATGTGCAAAATCAATTATAAGAATAAGTTGGATAATTATAAAACAGAAACCACCAATCATGCCAAAAACCATCCATGTTGAAGCAAACTGTCCTTCAGGAATAAAGAATGCTCCAATAATGCCTCCAATAACAACAAGATATTTTATTCCCCAGAACCTGGAAAGTAAAACTTATTAATTAAATATTATTAGATGAAATCAAACTTTTTCACAGATATAATTGCAATTTCATTTGTTTTTAATTTTGCTTTGTGATATTATAGTTACATTAACTAACCTTTAACATTCTTAATAATAAATTTTATCCAATCCAAGTTGCAGAAGTTTATATTATCTTGAATAATTTAATAATTAAGATAGGTATAATAAATTAATAACATATGTTTCTGAAGTACTGATTTAGTATGACATACCCATTTTGTACACCAGCTCTCGGATCCTTGGATGATTTTACTCCAAGCATAATAAGTGCCATAAGTATGAAGAAAAGACATGTGGCAAAGCAAATCCTGTAGGAGAAAAGAAGTAGTAGTAAGAAAGTAAAGAAGTAGTAAGAATAGCTTAATTGTGAGTTTGATAAAAAATGACGAAAAATAATTGAAACAAAAAAATAACCAAATAACACATGTTTAAATACCATTTCTATACATAAAAATAATTAAGTTCTTTTTAAAATAAATATTAAGTATACCTATACACTGCTAGATATCCAACAGCTTGGTCACAGTCAACTTTAAAGTTTCCTGGTAAAATTCCTGTGGAATTTTCACAAAATGGTACCTGAAAAATGTATACATTAAAAATGGTTATTAAGCCCTGTATAGCAATAGCTACAATGTTTATTTGTAATGAAATATACATATTATGTTATTAAACATTTAATATTTGTATGATAACCATGTAACCATAAATTTAGTTAGCAAGGACTAAATTACCTTTTTTAACTGGTCATGCAGCCCTGGCGCTAGAGTTATGCATGCTACAATCATCATAAGTAGGAGCATGAGGGTATACATGAGACGAGTTGATGTGGAGTTGGCACATGATGGGCAGGCTGAACAGCATAAAGAACAAGCTGCACTTCCACAGCAACAGGCCAGCTAAAAACACATTATTGAAAATCTATAATTGATACCGACAACATTTTGGGAAAATGTCGTTTTTTTTTACTTTTTTTTAATGTGTTATGAATATTTTCGCTTTATTTTTTTTTATAATAAATATATATAATCAAACTTGTTAAATGAATTTTCTTGTTCTCCCGCGGCTTTGCTCGCGTTGAAGCTCTTTAAAAATTATTGTATATTTTTTTAAAGAAATATATTTTCAACCCTTTACAACACTTTTGTCCAATTAAAAAATAGCCTATGTCCTTTCACAGGCTCTACACTATCTGTGTACCAAATTTGATTTAAATCAGTTCAGTATTTTTGGCGTGAAAGCGAGATAGACAGACGGAGTTACTTTTGCATTTATAAAATTAAGTATGGAAGTTTGGATTGAACATCATACAAAATGTTATTCTAAGTTGTATAAAAGAATAATCAATAATTTTTAATTTTAAATTGGTTTCAGATCGTTTATGTCAACACATAAGAGTCTAATTTTACTTAGTATTGTATATTCACCTGAGCAGCAGAACAAAGACCCAAAACAGCACCCATTTTTGTTTTCAAGACTTCTTACTAATTATTGATTTTGTGATTTCTTGCTTATGCTAAAGATGTTTGAAAAGATAAAAACACAAAAACTAATTTAAAACATTTTGTTCCTTATTTTGGAACTATCGAATCGAATCTATTCTAAACACTATCTGCAAGTGCAAGGCATAAAATCAAAAACAGATATATCAATAAAAGTATTCTTTGATCAAAAACAATTTGTATAGTAATATATGTAGTATATAGTATACACTTATATAGTTATACACTTATACAGGTAGGTGTCAGGTCAGTGTTACTAACTCTCGAAAATGTTTGTCCCTAAAGTTTATGTCAAAAACTTCCTAAACATCCTAATAATATTATTAAAAAAATTATAAATAATAAGTAGCGCCAAGATTTTTGCCTTAATTTCCACATGAATGGAATCATACAGTGAAGGACATTGCAGTGAAAATGTTGTTCATATAAAAAGTGTTTAAACAATTTTTTTTCAAATTGTAGAAAGTTTAGTTTTAATTTATTTACTATGGAAATTTTATTTTAATTAGCAAGTTCTTTATCGGAATTTCTCTGTCGAAATGGACGAGCAACGTCTAAAAATAAGTGCAATTTTGTCGAATGTTGCCGGCCACTATACAACACCCGTTGGGGTTAAGCGGGCGCGCGAGGGGTGCACTTGCACCAAAAAATAGAAAGCGATACTATTTGGATCTAGTTGCAAGGCAGCGTGCAAGCCAAGTGGACTCGCCACTGTCCAATGGTTGACTGTACTTGTCTACTTTACCAAACACTTGACCAGTGCTTAAAATTTGTCCTTCGTTACCGATATTGAAATTTACTCCTAAATTTTGGGGGAAAACCCTTAAGTTGACAGCAGTGTTACCAACTGTTCAAAGAACAATACTCATAAAAAAATTCAAAACCCACTAAAATTCAATAGATTCAAACCTGAATTTCAAAATAAAATCAGCCACCATTTTTTTATATTATCAAACAAGGTAAAATAATTTTCTGATTTTTTCGTTTTTGTTCCGGCGAAGAAAAGAGAAACTGTTCAGGTGAAGATTCTCAGGCGGTTCACATTTCCTACTTGGAGTGCACATTTGGTCCTGTTCTGTTCCCCAAACTATGAACATTGCACGTCGTGCCCTGCGTGCCCAACCAAGGAGTTTAAGGTAAATGAGCCATTTTCTCTAAATCATAAGTAATATAATTATTTTACGTCCTAAGTAGTTAACCTCACAGATTTATGCATTTTCAGGAATAAAGTGTGTAAATGTGCGTAATTTCAATAACTTTATTTTAAACCACTCTAAACTAATTTAAGACAGTAGCATACCTAACTCACTATTGTCCGACCAAAGATTCAATTTCGGTCAGTGTCGATGAAAAAATGTAGTTTCAGCCATAATTTCGGTGGCTTAAAATCGCTGATTGTGAAGCGTATCTTTATTTTTATTGAATCGTGCTCTCGCTGTCAATCCATATAATATTTTAGCTTCAACCACGCAGAGCTCGAGAAACTGCAGATTCCTCGAGCTTGATTCTACCCTCCTCGTAGGGGTAGAGCCATGTGCTCATGGGTGCGTTATCTAATTAGCAAGGGCTTGTCATGCTGTTCGGGCTACTGTTAAATCGTTCGTTATAACTCAGTGTCCGGGCGCTTTTAATTTAGTATACTTGAATAACTCCCAAATCCCGTTACCTGTGTCAATGAAATTGTTAACATTGCAATTTTGACTTATCACGAGTTCAGGGCTGAAGAAAAACTTCGTGGTGTTAGTTTCGCCGTGATCATAGACGATGACGATCTATTTTGTTGTGTGTGTTATTCCCCTTCCCCTCGGACCGCGAAAGCGTACGGACGTGTGAACCGTGTACTTAAATCATATTTTTTGTCAAAAATTACAACAAATTAATTTTAGTTAAGTACTAGGAGCGCATAACAGTTAGTAGTTAACGCGGAGCCCTTGAAGATAACAAAGGACAACAACAACGAAGAAGGATATAACGCGCTGAGCTACGTTGCGTGCACGCAAGACGTGACGTCGTCATCGCACTCGCTTGCCGCAATTTCATAAGCGGAGCGTATTAGCGGATCGCAGGTCCAACATTTTATACTGGTAAAAAAAAATACTTACTTAACTGTTCATTCTTTACTATAATTCTTACGCCGCTTGAGATTTATAATGTCAGTCAGAAGAACGCCACCAAAGAATGATAACAAAAAATCCACTCCGGTGCACTATGGGTCTGACACGGCTTTAAATACCCCTGAAAATAGGGAAAAAATGGATGCTTATATAACTAGACGGTTTAAACGGAGACTCGATGACCCATCGGATTCTACTTCAAATATTACGTTGTCCGAACTTAAAATTATGTTCGAAGATTGGCAAAACAACCAGGAGGCAAAATTTTATGCACTGAAATCCTCCATGGAGGCTATAATAAAAGAAAATGAAGATATTAAGACCTCTATGGACCTCTTGTCCGATAAATATGATAATATTTTGACAGACATGAAAAGTCTCCAGCAAGAAAATAATAAAAATAAAAACTACATCAAAACCCTAGAAGCGCAGCTGGAACAACTTGATAAGAAAGGGCGTGCGTGCTCCGCCGAGTTGCGAAACATACCCAACTTGCAATCAGAAACGAAACAGAAGTTACTTGAATTGACAAAATATAGGATCAATCTTAAATACACCGATTCAAGACTCAGATGTTCGTGATGTGTACCGCATGAAAATAAAAAATAGGCAAAACTCTCCTATAATTGTGGATTTCAATTCAACTTTCATAAAAGAAAACTTTATAAAATCTATAATAACTTACAACAAGGAAAAACCCGCTGATCAACGACTAAATACATCTACTCTTAAACTAAGTGGACCTACTAAGCCTATCTATGTTAGTGAGTCATTATCAAAGAAAGTCAGACGCCTCCATTACCTGGCCAGATTATTTGCAAAGGAAAACAATTATGAAGGCTGCTGGACTTCCTATGGAAAAGTATACCTGAGACGTAGCAAAACCGGTCAACGATTATGTGTGGACAGCGAAGAAGCCCTGGATAGTCTTAAAAGTAAATTGTGACTAGTTATATTTATCTATTTTTGTTATATTTGTTTATTGTTCTTAAAACTTAATGCATGCCAAATCATATATTTTTGTAATAATCCCTTTTTTTCACACTATTTTAGATGTTAACCTTAGGAAATTAATGATATTTTTTGTTATTACGATTATTACACTAAACAATACACCAAACACTCAGTTTACCGTTCACTTTATACAAAGAGAAAATTACTTTTACATACATATTACAAACACATTTACATTTTACACAAAAAAAGATATGCCTACTAATTTGCCTTGCCTCTACTATTATCATAATCCGTTGTTGGAAATTACAATCAGGAAATATAACCATCATCATAAATATAAAACCTTTATATCGCTCTTAATAATTTATCCGTCTGATAAACATATGTCTAAAATTCAACGAACTAACTGAGATAGATAATGAGATTGATTCATTTAATGTAGCCGAATCTGTAATCTGTGATGCTGAAGAGTGCCAAACGTTTATACCAAACTCAAACAAATTTCTGAAATTGTTACAACAAAATATACGGAGCATCAAGCGCAACGTAGATGGTCTGCTTGCCCTGATCGTTAGAAGTAGAGTTTGCTGGGATTGTATCGTGCTAACGGAATGTTGGTTGCCCTCCAATCCCAGCTTAAATGGTTATAAATACTCAACTCAGTTTCAATAAATAATTATACGCAAAATGAAGGCGTAGTGGTGTATTATAGGAGTAACTTGAATATATCAATCGAAGAACACCAACTAGTAGAAGCAAATTGTCTAGCCATAACACTTGACAAAAATACCTTAGCGTTGGCCATCTACCGTCCTCCCGGATACAAAAATGTAAACAATTTTATTCAATCCTTAAACAGCTTATTATTAGGTTATGCTAAATTTCAGAACGTTATTGTATTAGGTGACATAAACATAGATATCTCTGGGAATAGTACAGATTCAAATTCTTCCACATACTTAGATATGATGGCATACCATGGACTTTTACCAGCACACACTTCGCCGACGCACGGTAAAACTTGTCTCGACCATGTAATGTTGAAAACTAAGTTATCAGCTCGTAGTCTTGTACTCCAAACATATCTTACGGATCATTATAGCGTTGGACTTTATATCTCAACTAATCTAAGGCATAAAAAGGTGAAAATAATCAGTCAGCTAAACCGTCCAGATTTCACTAAAGATTTAATAGATGTAGATTTTAAGCACCTATACTCGCTGGAAGACGCAAACGAAGCTACTCACTATTTCAAAGAAACACTTCAAATAATATTATTACGGAATACAATAAAAATTAAAACTTCGGCTAGGAATAGAATATTAAAGCCATGGTTAACATCGGGCGTTCTAAAATGTTTAAGAAATCGAGACAATCTTCACAAAAAACTAAAAAAAGATCCTAATAATAATACTCTGCTCGCTATCTACAAGAGGTATAGAAATTTCTGTTCCAATTTATTAATAAAATTAAAACGGGAATATGAAAAACTACAACTTCAAAACGCTAATAAAAATAACAAGAAGTTATGGAAAGCTATAAAAGAAATCACACACACTACTAAACCAAAAGATACACCGTATGAACTCATAAATACTACAGACCCCTTCAAATCATTAAACAGCGTCAACAATTATTTTGCAAACGTTGGTAAATCATTGGCAGAAAATATGAATAACACGAACTTACAATCACAACAATGTTTCTTAAAATCGTGCCCAAAGTCATTTGTACTACTCACGGCTGATGAAAATGAGATTGGAGTACTAATAAGCAATCTTAAGAATGATAGCGCCGTTGGTCTGGACATGATTTCTGCAAACATTATTAAGGAAAAGAAAGAGATATTAACTAAACCCATAACTTTCATTTGTAATCTCTGTTTTTCAA